TATATATATATATATATATATATATATATATATATATATATATATATATATATATATATATATGCAAGAACATAACATAACATAACATAACATAACATAACATACTTTTTTATTCACTCGAAAGTCTTACAAATATATGACACTACAATAAATATTTATACAAACAATATACGAGCTTAGCTATCCGAAATAACCATTAAGGGCTAATCTGGTCGGATAGCTATTACACAAAAAGTTTAATATATAATAATTCACGGTAGACAGTATATACAGTATGTAGGTTTTTGAACAATGACAGAAGACAGGACATTAAACACAATTACATTACAAGACACACTTATGAGTCAGGCAAATGGTAGATTAACATGTTGATACTTAATCACAATAATCACATATGATATGATCTGACTGATCATTGACTGATCATTGACTTTTAAATTTCTTCTTAAATTTTTTACGTTAAGAATTTTTAGAGACTCTTCAATTGAATTCCAAATTTTTGGTCCGCTAAATCTAATATTAAAAATTTCATAATTGGTACGGGGTAAAGGTAGCGCATATGTTATTACTTTTGACGCCAACCTGGTATAATGCGAATGGATACATTTAATTAGTGTACTGTTTGCTTTGTATATCTGCTTTTTTCTCCTTCGTTTTACGATGAGCCGATACTTATAAGCGAAGAAAGCATACTAGCCTCCATTGCTAAAAAGTTACACGTTACCAAAAGCATTAGGGAAAGCTGAATTACCATATCATTCAATCTGTGCACTGAAAAAGTGGTCAAAATCAACCGGGAGCAAGCCATTACAAAAACAGACGGTATGAAAATACCAGTGTGCAACTTTACGATATTAAGTAATTTCAATAGATTGAGCATTTTAAACTTCTTTTGTAAAGTGACCAAGGGACTTAAATTTGTAATGTATATATATATGTGTTTCCCCACAACAAAACGGCATACGTAAGGAATTAATAAATAATTGCATTGTACATTTGTAGCAATATTTGAATAGATACAAAGTGACGCAACTACGCCAGAATGCCTATTCCTCTGGAAATCTTTTTTGATAGTTCCAATATATGACTCTTCCAATTTAGGTGAGAATCAATAAAAATACCTAAGTACTTTATACTTTGCTTTTCCCTAATTTGTTGTTCTTGCATTTTTTAAATTAAACTATAATTAATTTTTTTCTGTGCTAGGTGAAATACAATAAAATTTGTTTTTTCTATATTTAAACATAATTTATTTGCACACAACCATTTATCGACCATGGACAACTGTTTATTGAGATTTTGTTCTAGACTTTGAAGATTTTTATGAGAATAAAATAGATTAGAGTCGTCAGCAAACAAATGGAAATCTAAATTAGTAGCTGAAAAGCTAAAATAATTTATGTATAACAAAAAAAATAAAAGTGGCCCTAAAACAGATCCTTGTGGAATCCCGCATGTAATAGGTTTTTTTCAGATATAGCATTGCCAACTGAGACAAACTGTTTCCTATTTATTAAATATGAAGAAAACCATTGATTTGTTATACCTTTGATATAATATTCCATTTTTTTAGCAAAATTTTGTGGTCTACAGTATCAAAAGCTTTCTTCAAGTCGAGAAAAATATCACAAGCATATTCTTTGTTTTCAATAGCCCTTTGGATTTTATCAGTAATTAGCAATAGTGCATGATTAGTAGAATGATTTGACCGAAATCCAAATTGTCCATGAAATAACAATTTATTATTCTCAAGAAAATCTATTAGTCTCTTATACATTAATTTTTCTAAAATTTTATTAAATATTGATAATAAAGATATGGGGCGATAATTTGATACATGGAATGTTGGTCCATTTTTATATATAGGAACTACCCTAGCCAACTTCAGTTTGTCAGGGACAGTTCCACATGAGAATGAGCAATTAAAAAGATAGGCAAGAGGTACAGACAATATTGATTTGTTGAGCTTACTTATTTCTTCTTCAATTTCAAGGGGTGAAGTTGGATAAAGCGTAAAACTATGACAAATCGGTTGTTTAAATATTGTTGAAATGAATTATTTACTGTGGGTATAGCTAGTATTAGCAATATCAGATCCAACAGTTGAAAAATATTCATTAAAAGCATTTGCAATTTGTTTTGAATTTGTTATTTTAGTATTGTCTACTTCTATAGTTGATGGGCTAGTTACAGTTGATTGTTTAAGAGTAACTAATTCTTTTTATACCCTTCCAAATATTTTTCATATTTCCATTATTAATATGAAAATAATTATTATAATAGGATTTTTTGCTTATATTTAGTAAATGTTTCAATTTATTTCTGTATAATTTGTATTTCAAGTGGAAATATTCATTTCTATTTCTTAAATAGAATTTATATAATTTATTCTTTTTCGCAATAGATACCTTAAGCCCTATTTGTTATCTATGGTTTAACAAGTAAGCATTTTTGTTTTTGGGACAATTTTTTCATAGGAACATGTTTATCAATAATTACTGAAATTTTATTGTAAAAAGAATAATAAATAAGATTCACATCTACTTCAGGTAATGTGTGCTCCCAGTTAATTGACCTGACCTCTTCCACAAATTCTTCCTCTTTGAAATTAGAGTAATCTCTATGATACATATTTTCAGCTGTAGACTTGGTATTAAATTTGCTAATTATAAGAAAATTTGGAAGATGATCTGATATATCACTCAAAATATTGCCACTGACACAATGATGCTCAAATGAATTAAAATAAATATTATCAATTAAAGTAGCAGTGTGATCAGTAATCCTAGTAGGTTGCAGAATATGTGGTTGAAAACAATAAACTGACATATTATTTATAAATTCCTCAGTTGGATTATGGGATTCATAATTCAATAAGTTGATATTAAAATCACCCTTCAAAATACAATATTTCCTTTCATTAGAGAGTTTGTCTATTACCTTAGTCAGATAATAACAAAAGCTATCAAGATTACTATTTGGATGTCTATAGATAACTGAGCAAATTATATTACTTTGTGACTTCCTGTGAATTTCAATAGACAAAAATTCAAACTCATCTGTTGATATTGTCAAATCACTACGGTCATGAAACTCACAGTCATTTCTAATATAGAAACCCACACCTCCAGCTTCTGTATTACTAGGTTGAGAAATGAAATGATATCCTGGTATACTGATATTGGACACTAGAGACTTTCCTACCCTTATTTTTGTCTCAGTTAGACCAATAATGTTAAAATGGTATTCAAACACTCATTAATAATTCATGAGCTAATTGGCAAATCATGTCAGCCATAACATGTCACGTGCAGTGGCTTTAAACCTGATAAAACACTCCTAATTAGTATTCTTTATATAAAGAATACTAATAAGGAAGTATCTATTGTTGTCGTCTCCTCATTAGTATTCTTTATATAAAGTATACTAATATAAAGGCAGTAAATCTATTGAATTTGTAGTCGTGTTTGACTGAGCCGTTTAATAAACTCGCAGGTCGTGTTTTATTAGGTCTAAAGCCACTCGCGCTGCGCGCTCGTGGCTTTAAACATAATAAAACACTCCTGCTCGTTTATTAAACAGTACATTAAGATCTGACAACATAGATGTCAGATGATCATGATTTGCCGCTAGGCTTCTTATATTGCTATGTAGAGCAGAGAATGAATGTGTTTTGATTGTCATTAATAAAGCTATTATAATATTATTAGTAAAATAATTAAAATCAACATTACTGATGAAATTCCTATCAACATCAGATTCCCTCAGTGTTGATATATTCGATAAACAAGAGGTTAATTCAAGTTTAGGTAAATTATTTAGAAGTGCGTTAGAAGACATCAATATCTGAACATAAATATAAATATAATATACTTATCGCAAATTGTCAAGATCTTGCAGTCTGGTAATAGTGTAAGCTGGTGAATCTTTATTCTTTCGAAGATAGATACGGCCAGAATGTGTCCATATATATTTGAAAATATTTTCTTTTTTTAAACTTCAGAGACTTGGCAAATAATTCTTTGTTTCTTGGGCTTAGGCTCTCCGAGATATAGATTCTGTTGTTAGAAGATCTACCCATGCCGATATCCTGTGTTGTCTTATCACGCAGGTGCTTTCGCCCGTTATAAAAAGCTTCCTTTACTTCTCTTCTGGTAAACTTTACGATGACTTTAGGAAACTGATTAGCAGCATTTAAGCTGCTAGACGCAGCTCCATCTCTAGGTCTCAGCCTAGAACTATAACTTTCCTTTCCAGTGGATTGTGGTAGACGATGACTGACGGAAATGTCGGTTTCGCTTAGGCTTAAGCCTATTAACGCGCCAAATTTGATAACAAGGTCGTTGGTATTCTCTCCCATCTGCTGAGGTAGACCAGCAATTTCCACACAGTCTCGTCTAGAGTATTGTTGCATGTAATAAATCTCCTCTTCGTGTTGATCCATACAATTTGAAAGCCTTAATACTTCAGCCTTCAAGCACTTATTCTTTTTTCCACAGACGTGTATTTAGTCTCAAGGTTATCAATTCGTTTAGTACGTGATTAGATCAAATTTTTCACTAATAAATTTTACACTCTCCGCAAGGTCGTCCATTACTCGAGAAATCGGCCCCAATTTATCCTCTAATTTTTTATCCAAGATAGCCAGAAATTCATCATGAGTTAGTTTAATGGTTTGACTCATTTTTACAACATAAATTGACAATAACAACACAAAAGACAGATTTAGAAGAGCAAAAATTCTCAATATGCGACGGAGCTCAAAGAATTGCCGCCATCTTAACTGACCACGTGAAACTAAAGCAAAACAAAAAGCATTGACATGCATTGTCATGGTGGTGACAAAAAAGCAAAGTAAGAAACCTTCTTAAAGAAATAATAACATGCAACATGATGTGGTTTAGCCTGCGAACAGGCTCTCAAGCTGAATTGAGAGCCTGCATCGATGACTAATGAATTTGAATATCTGCGTCTCAGATCGTAACGCGAAATTCTCATTGGTCAGATGCTATAATTTATATTATTTCGCTGAGCTCTATATATGTCAACTGCTAGCACTATGCATAAAAAACACATTAACTGATCAAATTGGTCTTGGCCATCTTATCTCAAAGCACGAAATGTTCTGTTTTGAGAAAACAGTATTTAAAACATTTAAACTTTTGCTTCAATATCTTATATTTCGAAAAACAGTATAAACTGTACGGTCTAAATTTAGTTTTGCATGGTCTAAATTTAGTTTGCACCAAAGTTGTAAACAACACCATATAAGGATAGACATTCCATATTTGGAAAAACGAACGTTACGGGGCAGATATTCAAATTCATTGGTCATCGATGCAGGCTCTCAATTCAGCTTGAGAGCCTGTTCGCAGGCTAGATGTGGTTTAGTGTTAGTTGCACAGGGAGCCCTAGCCAGAGTTCTATCATTTTTGAAGATATATTTCCTGAAGCACACATAATCAATGTAGAGTGATTTTCTCTTTGCCATTACTCTCACTTTATCACTTTGTTATTAGATTATGTACCATAAAAGTGCAGAATACAAAACTGATGAAGCACCACATCCCAGCGGGCAAAATGACGTTTATCCAACGTTGAATCAACGTTGGAAATGACCTTCCAGACGTTGGATAGACGTTGAAAAAGGGTTGACTATGCAAATTGGATCGACGTTACTGTTTCGACGTTGAAACAACGTTGAAATTAGGTTGCCAATCTCGTCAACCATAATTCAACGTTGAATCCACGTTAAAACAACGTTGAGATTGGTTCACAAGTCGACGTCGTACATTTAACCATGAATGAACGTTAATTCAACGTCTGTTGGCTGCTGTTGAAACAATGTTTGTAAAACAACGTCAGAGCAACGTAGATATTAGGTTGTCGACGTCGCAACCTTTTTTCTACCAAATTTCAACGTTGAAACAACGTCGTGTGCCCGGTGGGATGGTTATATTTCATTGCTGAATATTTGCATTTTATTGGTTCACCAAGACGTTGTTAGTAAGCTTAGGGTGAACCACTGAACCAGGTAGAGCTTTTTGCTACCTGGCCACAATATCCAGTCTGATATTGTTGATGTATAAGGTTTCAGCTTCCAATTCATTTAAGGTAAAACAATTGTTTCAATTGGGCTATAAAATGACTCGAGTGTTTATAATATTTTGACTCAAAAACATAGATATTTGCACTTCATTATGATGTTGAACAGTAATCAATCTTTTTATTCTAACATTTACGCGCATGCTCATTGTTTGATGACTGAAAGTGTCTGACTGTCTCGCAGCAGACAAAGTAACATATGACCATATGACTCAGTTCCAGCTGGAACTTTCGTCCAGTTCCGGCCAGATTCAGTTCCTGCCGGAACTGAAGAAATTGTTTCTGATGCACCCCTACAGGTCTAGCCTAGAAAGGTGCTTGATCGAGTGTGCATGCCTATTAAGTCATTGAGCCGCAATGCGTCCCAGTGCACCCTGCTTTTTTTGCTTGTCTAATGCCAAACAATTTTACTCGTCAATGGACTTAATGGATTAACCAAAAAATCTAACAATGTCTCCAGTTATTAAACCCATTGAGCCATAATGTGCCCAAGTGCCCCTACATTTTTTTACTTGTCTAACGCCAGACAATTTCAATCATCAATGGGAAAGCTCTGCAGCTTTAAAGTGCCTATGCGACAATTTTTTTTATGATTGGAGTGCAAAGTTCATTTAAAATCACAATATAACTTGTTTTCTAAAACTTTGTAATCTTTCCTGTATGTCAAGATTTTCGACTTTGTTTGATATACAAATGTGACTTAAATGACGTCACACTGCATAATGCGTTTTACAGAAGACTGTGTTGTAGCTTGTTAAAATTCTCATTATCTCAAATTTACAGACGAAATGATCGCTTTGATAGCTCTTAAAGTATGTCACTTTCAATGTCAGTGGAATTATCACATGTTTGGCAAGAAAACGTTTTCTTTCTAAAAATCATTATGCAGTGTGACGTCATTTAAGTCTGATTTGTATATCAAACAAAGTCGAAAATCTTGATTTACAGGAAAGATTATAAAGTTTTAGATAACAAGTTATATTATGATTTTAAATAAACTTTGCAATTCAATCATAAAAAAAATTGTCGTATAGGCACTTTAATAATGGGTTAAACAACCATAAAACACAATTGAGCACTCCTTTTTATTTAAGTGCTTTTTCAAGAAACAATCTTAAAAACATGCATGTTACAGTAAGTTCATGACAAAGTTCATTCTTTTGGCCTGGAGATTGTCACCTAGGCATGTAATAACAATATACGAAGTAGACTCTCGCTTATAAAGTAGGTGCATAGAAAATAATGCCTTGAATGCACGGTAGCACTATTGATCAAGTATCTTGGTTTTCATCCAAGCAAGGCCTGATACTAGTTTATATTAGTATATTTTTGTATGTCATTTAGTGTGCTTTAATAGTAAATAGTCAATATTAACATCACTATCATATTAATATTTACCTTAGCTTGAGTCGTTGTTACGCCAGTTTCTTCTACAGCGCTTTCGATAATTTCGCGATAATTTACACCAACACCGACCATTCCAAGGCCATAAAACCTTTCCAAAATATCTCTCTGGTTGTTGCTTATTCTAGTTCTCTTTCCTGTCTCCATTTTATTGCACAGAATCCGAGAATCGCAAATAAACTAGAAAATCTACTAGAAATGTTTTCAAATACGGCAGTTCAAAGCTCGAAAAGAACATGTGATAGAAACATGATTGTGATTGGTTTATATATAATGATATGCGAAGGCGTCAGCGTCAGGTAGCGCAGGCGATAGTCTGCATGGCACGGGTAATACCGAATATTCTCAATTAGTATAATTACATAGGTGATTATTGAAAATTCTCCACGCTCATTGGTTGCTGTTGAGGTGATTATAACGCGATAATCACCTAAGCGATTTTCGAAATGGCGGCGAAGCCGTTTTGGTAATTATATGACGAAGAAAGATGTATTTTTTAAAATTTTTTCCAAATAATCACTTATGAAATTATACTAAAACAATTATTCACCTCAGGCTCGGTGCAGATTATCGTGAATAAAAACCTCGACTTCGTCTCGTTTTTTATTCAACTATAATCACCTCGCCTTCGGCGAATAACTGTTAATTGAGAACATATGGGTAATACCCATTGAGGAGTATGCTAAACGGGTGTTTCCAATCATGATAATGGTTAAATAAATGTTCTGCCTAATACAACACTCAACAGCAATTTTCTGAAGATTCTGCCTCGCGTTTGCCCCAATATGTTTTGCAACCCCTGGCAGTGATGGCGGAATAAATCGTGAAAGGGCCTATTGGTATATATATATATATATATATATATATATATATATATATATATATATATATATATATATATATATATATATATAAATCCTAAAGCACACTCATTCATAATATGAAAAAATAACTAATAATAAAATACTACAAACATACGATATAAAACAATTAAACTTCTGTACCTGAAGGGTATATTCCCGTAGGACTCAATTCAAGATCAAGCTTTTCTTTAATCTCTCAGTCAAACGGCATGTAGTCTCGCGTCGCCGTGTCTCTCTTGCGTGTATCTGATGCAACTAATTCATACAACTAGCGTCTATGTCACTCAGACAATAGTCTTTCGAGACATGGTCTGGAAACTCAGTAAACTTCAAAGCGGTTTTAATGAGCTGGGATGTTATTTTGAGCCGTACCTTCCACCGTGCACATCTTTTGTTTAGGTTGATTAATATTTAAATAGCATGGTTGAATGACTGAACTAAAACTTTGCTATTGAATGATTCGTACATTATACTGAAATACAAAGTGTTCATTGACCGTGCACCGTGCACAAAACTGCATAAACGCGAACAAAAAGATAGAACAAAGACTTTAACGGAGTTTCCAACCAAGCTTTGAAAAACTATGTTCAGACACTCAGCGTGTAACTATTAAAATATCTGTATTTACGACAATAAAAATTGTTAACTGAGGCTACACTAAAAGTCAAATGTTTCTCGCTATTTATACCAATACACAATATAAATCCAATGACTTTAACCAATGACGTTCACTAATAGCTGACTAGCAATGGGTAACAATATCCTTTTCCCCTTAGGCTACATTTTGTGACATTTTACTCAGTATACTGAAGCAAAGATTAGCAAATTTCTCCTTGTGCTTAGTATGAACTGCATCATTACTGATAATTTGCCATGTCATTTTACCATTAATAGTGTAGATACAATGGGAAAATGTCTCAGGCAAACCATGAGCAAGACCATTAATAACACATTCGTGTAGTACATACGGCTCAGGCTGATGATTGCCGAAATTGAAACTTCCAAAACTTGATATCACATTGCAGCCGCCTTTCGCAAATAAATCATCACTGAGCCAGAGATTGAATAGATCTCTTGGTTCCAGTAGTCCAGACGCCACTGTCGCTTCGGCTACACATGATTCTTTCTTAACAAAATCCTTTATTCGCTGCGTGGTTTCTTGGGCTAAATTCCAGAAGTCGGCCGTATCTCCATTCAGATATTTCATGTAAATATTATCACACATATACGCAAAATATCCAAGATAGTCTTCGTGCGGTTTCGGAACACAGTAGCGTTGAGCATTGATGACAAACGGCAAACCTAACTCCATAGATTTATCCGGCCCTATAAGCTTGCAAAAAGCTAAATGGGTTGCAGCTGCGATAGCTCCTGTCACTGTGCAATCATTCGCTTTGCAGGCTTGTATAATATCCTTCGTTTCATTTTCAGTAAAAACGTTTACACTCAGCTGACATGGTACGACAGTAGACACTTCTGAGTTCCGAGGAAACTGTGCATGATACGGATTATTCGGCCTCTTTTGTATAACACGATTCAACATTTTTTCCATGCAAAATTTCATGACCGGTTTTAGGCCACAATAAGCCAGTATAAAATTAAACAATGAATGCCAAATACGACCTCGTGTGACTATTTCGTGGTAATATGGCAGCAGATCTAGGCTCGAAATTTCTTCGTCAGCAGAGCTGGTACCGTTTGCAAGTTCATTCATGTAATTAAGAAATTGCTCGCAAAACTTCACAGAGCACACGCCGTCAGTACAGGCATGACTGAAGTTAAACATTAAGGTATTTACATAATCTTTAGTGGTATCTTGCATGAATTCCTCTTGTAATATTACGACTCGCCATAACAGACCATTTCCTCTCGGTTTTGCTGTATATTCAAACCAAACACTTTGTCAGTCAGAAGCCTTTACATCAGAAGTGGTAATGTCTAACATTGTAATGACTTCATTGATATCCTTGATTTCGAAATATCTATCACCGTTCGCCATAGTTGCTATCACTGCTCGAAGCATCGGCTGTCGTTTGGATAATAGCACCAGAGAGTCATGAACGTGCTGGTATACCAGGCTCTGTTTTGATGTTATTGATATCGACACACATACATTGGTTGTACCAGATTTTTCCACGGAAAACATATCGATTAATTCTTCCAAATGGCCAAGTCGACGTCGGTTGGAATCGGCTGACTTTGCTGACAATAGTCTCGCTTCGGCAGCCAGGTATTTCATGATCTTTGAAAGCATGTAAAAAACAAATACACAGCTACAGTGAGAAATGCTTGTACCCAGAATCCACTTAACATCTTGAATGACACCGGTACAGACAGCCAATAAACTAAACGTAACGTATGCACCAAAAGTCAGTCTTATTAATTGTACAAGCCTGACTTTTGTCTAGTCTATCTTTCAAGTAATAATAGTTGCACATCTGGAATTTTAATTATATTGCATGCATATTTTCTAGGAACAAATCTCGATTTGATGCGTGGGCGGTGTGTAACGTGTGTTTACAGTTGCTCAATATTTTACAGCGTTGCCAGATCAAATTTGTAAATGTTTATGTAGACAAGTACGAAATGTTCATGAATTTGACAAAAAGTTCATGAATTTCAAATTTTAACACAACATCACAATAATGCTGTAAATTAGCCCATTTAAGTTACTAATGACTATCTACTTCTGATAGTTAAACATTTATTCATGCCAAAAAATATTACTATCAAAGCGGACATTTGCCTCTTTGACGCCCGCGTGTGCGTAATTGCAAGTAATTACGATGATGGCGGCTAGTGAGAAGTTTATAGGACTACAGAAGAAGGTTTAAAGCCGATATAGAGTTATATAAAACGCTCGTAAAAGTTTGGCAACCTCGAAATTGTGTGAAATACTCGGCCTTCAGGCATACATAGATTATCTTTATGTTGTTGTTCATGAAAGTGTAACCCGCACACCAAAAGCGCAATGCGTCATTCATGTTCACGCGTATCACACTACAAACATATTAGACTGCATAACATACATTACTTATCTGCCTGTTGACTTATATACTGCTCTATTAAATGTATTAATTGACGAGATATTGTGAATCATTATAAACGTCGCTTACAGCTGCGTCGCGCGACGATTTTTCGGGAATATACATGCTATATAATGTCATATAAAGATATAATACATACTTATTACTTATTCATAGTAATGTTAAAATTAATTAGGAAGGTCTTCTTTATTCGAATTGCTTCCCCACGAGCCTTCTTCGCCAAATTCATCGTCGCTTACTGCATCGGTAAACGCCAGAAGAGTAATCCGAGCCATAAACAACTATATATTAGCCCTGTCGACCAAAACATTGCTAACACAAATCCAACATCGTTCCCAGGCTCTTTGCACTTGGGAAGCAAAGACCCTGGTCGGGGCTTATGACGTCACACATACAAAATTGATAGCCGAAGGGGGGGATGGAAAAGTCTCATATTACATGTTTCCACTTCCGCACTTCGATTGCAAGGAGTGGCCGTTCTGTACAATCATCTAATTCATCTTCAAGTATCATACATACCTCAAACTACTTGCTGAATTGGTTTCTGTTTGCTTTGAAATTATACAAACATGCTAAAATGTAGATTCTTATAGCAACAGAAAATTCAGGAAATCAAGCAACGAGAACGTATGGCTGTACGCTTTGAAATATTTTTATTTTCTCGGACTTCGCCGGTTCGGGCGTAGTTTCATTTCACGCGTACGTTTCTGTTCTGGCTCTGATATTTATAATATGCTTATAATATGCCAATCAATTGTTCTGATATGGACACGGTATAAAATTTTTTAAACAGATGTCTCAAAAGCGACTGTTTATAGGTCGTAGGATTAGCGCCTTGCCGGTCTTAAACGTGACACATTTGGACAGAAGCCAAATACACATTGAATGTCCATTTTATTGATTCTAAAACTGTTTATAGACATATTGCTCTAGCTTTTTTAAAAAGGTTATCATCGTTTATGTTAAACACCAGGAAGACAAAATATAACGTACAAAATTGTTTGAAATCGACAGTGGGTGTCAGTGCACAGCTGACATACGACAATTCACAACTGCATGAATTTCCATTTTTTGTCGATCTGCACGAGTACCTGTTTGTTGAAGCCAAAATATTGCACAGCATATCCTATAAATTCTATCGCCATTTACCCTCCCCCCTTAAATGCAAAGGAATGACAGCAGAAAAGGTTTAGCAAAGTATTTTTTATTACATCTGGTATAAAGTGTCCTACGTTTTATCAGGATATACATAATTCATAAACTGTATATGCACACGAAGTCTCGCTTATTAATGAGTTTTACTGTAACAAACCTTTTAAAGTTTCCATGGATAGATAGGTTGTTTGCCTCCAGTATTGTTTGGTAAAACAGACTAAACTTCTAAAATATTGGTTACGGAATACGCCGATAAAGATTAAAGTTGATTTAAATATTGATAACTCACAGCGGCATTAATCCATTATACAAGTCTCAAGAAGCTGGATATTTCTTCAATAAAGCCCTCAATGGACAATGCCAATGTCAATGAAAGGTCTAATATTATACATGTTGCAAATTACTGTATACACAAAATATGAAATAATTTATATAAAGTACAATACCAATGTCTGGTGCACATATAGTCGTAGGTATTCAAGTTGTACCGCACGCACGGAAACGCATGGAGGAGTCTTGGCGTTTGTGTGATATTAACAGATAGCTAACTACACTTCGACATTATCTTTCTTGATCGTTGAGTTTCAGCAATGTAAATGAAATGAATTTTATAGCCAGTCCATAACGGGTTTTCATCCTGTGCTTTTACAGTCAAAATAGCACTATTGTTTACACATGTTGGCGATGTTTGGGAAATCAAAGGATCCCGTTATAAAATAAATCTTTTGTTTTGAATATCGGACAGGATACACTTCAACTATAAAGAACCATATCGTTCGTTTAATACCGTTTGATCAATCAGTCTGTGTAGAAGATATGTATGTTTCTACGGCGATACGTGCTAAACTTCGCGAGCCAGGCGCGTGTGGAGTGTTTTCCTTGCAAGTGAAATATGATCCAGCTTCTCGCTTGAAATGTAACACAACACTTATTGTTGATGACATTCAGCACAGCAGGAAGTCTTTGTCATGATCGGTACGAATCTAGAACGTTCCTTTCAAGATCTCTTGTTGCAAATGACATTTTTATCACCCGAAATTATAACACATAAAGTTGCAATTTTCCAAACGCAACAAACACGCTCCCCTACCTCCCGACCCATAGTCAAATTATACGTTTACTCCCAGATTCTGGGTGTGACGTCATAAGCCCCGACCAGGGTCTTTGCTTCCCAAGAGCAAAGAGCCTGGGAACGAGGTTGACACAAATCGTCGAAATGACACAGGAAATATTGATAGGCACTTATAGTACGTATTCCATATATGGTCATCTCTTGCATAATACTGATGAGCAAATACACGACACTCACGAGCATATACATGACGCTGAAGAGCAAATACACGACATTCCCAGTACTTTGGTACTGCGCGATTCGAAGTAATAAGTAGGATTTGCAAAATGGCGGAAAAACAGAGCAGGTATGCAAATCCTTTAGCGCATCCATCGATATACTCTGATGCTGGAACGTGCGACTTCAGTGTTTTACGTTGTAGTCGAGGTGACTGTGGGGCTGATAACTGTAATGGAAGATTGTATCATTGTTCATTATGTCCTCCCAACAAATGTGCGAAAGAGCATCCTTCGCGAGTAAAGGACCATTTCAAAAAAGTTCACTGGGAAAACAGGATTCATGAATTTCCAGGTAAATTATACTTGCAAATTTTTGCGTCATTAAAAATTTATCATTCACAATTAATAATGTGCAAATATCTAGAAAAGCCGTAAAATGCCTTCCTATTAATAGTGTGAAATATGAGTGGGAAATGTTGATAATATAAATAAATAAAATGATAAATGGGACGTCAAGTATATTTTTTATTATTAATAATGTGAATTAATATGGTATGAAATAATTAGCAGTTTACCACAATATACAATAATACATATAATTATGGAATGCCATGGGCCAAAGGCTACAAACAAATCTCTTCAATTACAATCGATCTTCCTCTGTTTTGTGCTTTCATCAGCTAAGAATCCTGCTTGTATTTGATTTTTTAATTTAAAAAGGTTGAATTATGGCGAGAGGCGACCGCGTCCACACCAAACCAATTCTCGCTGCCGGCGTAGAGCGCGACCAACACAAGATTAAGTTCAAACGTTATAAACCAGGTCTGTATCACCTACATAGTGTTTCATATAAGTACTGAGGCATTAAGCTTTTATACCTTTGTGAATATTTATCAATATCTTATTTTACATAAAAGGCCGCAGAAAATTATACTCACAATAGCACAGGAGCTATAAAGTCTATAAACATCCGTGGTGGCAACCATAATATAAACAGAAAACAACCAGAGCAAACAACACTGCCCTCGATATTTAGTGGGGCAAGTCGTTCGCAAAGTTTGCCGGCTATTATTATTATTATTATTAGTTTTATTATATGATTGCCACCACCGTTATTTATAGGAATACGGCTCAGGGTACTAATCCATACTATTCTGAGTATAATTCTCTGCGGCCTTTATGTAAAATAAGATATCGATAAATATTCAAAGGTAAAGCTTAATGCCTCAGTACTTATTTGAAACACTAAGTATGTATAGGACATACAACCTGGTTTATAACGTTTCGCTAGTCGAGCTCTATTCCGGCTGCGAGAATTGCTCCTGGCCTCTGGGTGCATTCTCTTTTAATGTCCAGCCCCCCCCCCCCCTCCAATAGATGAATTTTTTCGCAGGGTGTCCCCAAAGTCGTTTCTGAGGGGTTAAGCCTGTTGGCATCTTTTGATGTATGCGATTTTTCTGAGGCGTAAGGGGAAAATTTACAAATTTCTGAAGGGGGTTTGTGTCGGCATTTCGATCTTTTTTTTTAGAGGTTAAAATCTTACTGACCTTATCCATAGAGCAGGGATGGATATTAAATGCAATGACCCTCTGTTAATACGGACCAAACTGCTCCTTGCACAGCTCTAGTTATTGCTTCTTCCCAGCAACGTTCACCACTCGCCATAATTCACCCTTTTTATAAATTAAAAAAAATCGAATGCAAGCAGAATTCTTGGCTGCTGAAAGCGCAAAACGGAGGAAGATCGATTGTAATCGAAGAGATTTGTTTGCAACCTTCGGTCCATGAGTGCCGGCCCAAATCTACTAGTGGATATGGACAGGGGGTCCGAATCTACGGGGGTTCAATCAACTGGGATACCGGAGGTTTCAAGTTACCGGACGTTTGAGTTATTATAAGGTTAATTGATTTTTGGACAGTTTTAATTTTTGGACAGATGGCGCACTACGCTATTGCATTATATCAAATAATGACTTTTCGGCGCTGTTTCCTTATATGATATAATGAAAAAGTTCTTTTACATGATATCATATCATGAATCAACTGAAAAGTCATTATTTGATATCATAGTGTAATGCATTAGCATTATATCAAATCAGGACTTACACAAATGCTTATGATATCATATAATGATTTTGTCGAAATGTCATGATATGATATAATGATTTTGTCGAAATGTCATGATATCATATCATGACTTTTCGGAAGTTCATGATATGATATAATGCTTAATGTTGATAACATTATATCAAATAATGACAAAAACGAATAAGTCATGATTTGATATAATGTCTGTTCGTTTATCAATTATTTATATATAATGACAGTTTTAGTCATGATATGATATAATTAACGTTAAATAATTTTTGGACACATGGCGTTCCATATAAAACAGTATCTCAGTTATGTGACATGTAATTTGTTGTTCTGTTAAATCATGTAGAGTTAGATGTACAGGTGCGAAACTAGCCCCTTTTTAATTCGGTGGGTGTCTGCTAGAATTGCCCTGCCAAAACCGATGATGTCCTGCAGTAAATTTTTATTTCTGGCCACTATTTTTCGCAAAAATGTTGGCGAGCAGGGATGTGGGGGGTTAAAAAGTTTTTCCGGACATTGAAAAAAGGGTCGAAAAATTTTTCCCGACACAAACCGGTTAAATTAAGCGGTCAAAAAATTTTTCCGTACAAATTCCTGTTAAAACATGGGTGAAACCTTTATTTTTGGACCAATATCAGTACAATTTAGGTCTATAAATTCTATTCAATTCCCTCCGAAAGCCCTGTAAGTACGTTACTTAATAACTCTACATTCTATTATTTAAAATCTTTGATTGCCCTGCCAATCCAGATGATTCGCCCTGCCAATCCAGTTGATCCGTATTTTGGGGGGTGTCACACCCCCTTATACCCCCCCCCCCCCTCACGTTTCGCCCCTGTAGATGTATTCATGTTAGTTTATATATTGTAGTTAATTTCACGTGCACGACCACATCAGCTATGTTGTAAATTTACTATCGTGTTTAAATAAATGCTTTTAATATTATTATTAGACACGGCAAACTGGTCTGCTTTGCTCGGCAAATTGTTTTCTCATATATCGGCAAATTGTGTTCGTGGTCAGCAAAAATATTTGAGTGGCTTGGAATAAAAAGTAATAGTTGTAGCTAAAATTTTGCTAAATTTACAAAAATTACGGAAAAAAAGTTAACAAATTAGGATATGTTCGGAAAAATTTTGGAATGTCCGGAAAATACTAGTTACGTTATGTGCGGAAAAATTTTTGTATGTCCAAAAAAATTACCATATGCCCCCCCCCCCCCAACAATTTTGTCCCCCGCTCGCCAACAATTTGGGGAAAAGGTTGTAGTGACTCGGCAAAATTTGGATTGATAACTCGGCAAAATTCACTTACTCCCTCCCCCCATTCAAAGAGGTGTAGCTACGCCCCTGTTTCCTTGCTTTTATTCAAAATGAAAGTGTTAATAATAATTTATTTTCCTTTTCACCGTTCCAATAAGGTACAATGACCGCACAAAGAAACCGGAAGCTGTATTTGGTATTAACATATAAACCGGATGTAATAAAAAACTGCACTATTATTGATATTATTATAAATGCAGGTGATGACTGATGAGTGTTGCTTTGGATAGTTATTTCGGGTTCCGAGTTGCAAAGTAAGCAAGCAAACACACTGATTTTATTTTGCTAAAATATATATACATAACATGGCCCATACAGTTCCAGAGATGAGCGAATATGATGACGGTTTAACGGCGAAGCAACTGTTTGAATCAGGACAAGGCATTACATACAAGTAAGTGTGAAATACACGAGGCAAAATATGAATATTTGACCGGCAAAATGCAATTTTATCAGCACATTTTAAACTTAAAGCCATCTATTCTAATATATATCGTGCATTTGACAAAGAAAGCTTAGTACTAAAATGAATCGTATGGATCGGGACATGGATAGAACGTTATCAAAAATTGCTTGCAGCTGGCGTCAGTGCCTGTTGTGCCTGGCGCATATGGGGCAAATGATATCCATGTTCTTATTGGTTCATTCACGCATTCAAATTGTTGTCTGAACTTTTTAGAGAAATTAAAATTCTACTTTGGCAATTTCTAAATTCTCTGAAGCGACGTTCCAGTATTGTCGCTTTGCCCTTTTTTGAACTTTCCAGCTTCACAGTTTTCAGTCCGCTAAATTAGTCCGACTATAAAATTACACACTTGTGACTTTTATAGGTCAAGTAAATGTGAAAGGCAGAATGACCTGCAGAATGGATGTCGATGGCTGCGAATGCAAATTCCGCGACATTTTTTTGTGACTATTCAAATTCTGCATAATTTCTGTGCTGTTACCACAGAATACTATACAGAAGTCCATCTCCATTGTTTTTTGCGTAAGCGCTATTCGTCATGATTCATCACTCAGCAAGTACTGTAAACAGAAGCAGTCACCCCCCTGGATGTGCACCATTTTGAGTATTTCCAGGGAGGTGACTGCTTCTGTTTACGGTACTTGCTGAGTGATGAATCATGACTAATAGCGCTTACGCAAAAAACCATGGAGATATTGGATAGTATTCTGTGCTGTTACCGTTTATACAAATTTAAAATTTATTTTAAATGTAATTTTACAACAGTGCCAAAAGGAGTGCACATAAACATATTTAAACCTGTTTGTATTATGAAAAGGGTAGATGCAAAATATTTTACATCGCCGAATATGGCTTGGATACAAGAGTCACAACAGTTAAATGACGGAATGAAAATGGAATGCAAACTATACTTGGTACACCTCAAATGCAAACTATACTAGGTGCACCTTGAATGCAAACTACAAATTATGGCCATTGTGGTGTGTTTGCTAAGATCAAAATGATCATACCATATTATATGGTTCATAATTAGTGTAGAAAATTAAATGAGAGATGTTCATTCTTCTTGAATTCACAGAAAACAGAACCTGGTCATATTCCATTCAAGCCTGGTTTCCTGTTTTCATTTGGTCCTAACTTGTGTGCATGCCTTTTGACTTTCAATTGTTAAAATAAATGTATTTTGCTATTTGATCAACAAGAACACAGAGAAATGTCACAGAATTTAAATCGGAACGAAAACATATTGCAGAATTTACATTTGCAGCCATTCCGTATGCCATTTTGCACAGCCATTCTGCCTTTTACATTCGCCTGTGTAGGTAACTTGTCCTGTGTGGGCAAAGTGACCATAATGGAAACAGCCTTCCAGTGGTGTGGACTGCCCCAAATGTGGCATATTCTGTACCAAGATAAAATTCAGTGGCGGAAACTTTGCAAAATATTGGGGGGGGGGGGTGTTGAGTGCCGAAGGCACAAGATTTCTGGGGGGGGGGTTAAGGTTAGGTAGACTGAGGCGGTTTTTCGGTATACTGGAAAATACCAGTTTTTTGAGAAACCGGTTTTTCGGTTTTGCCAAAGTCCAAGTACTGAAAAAAAAGGGAAAAAGACAAAGAACTGGGAAAAAACAAGATAAAAATGCTAATGTTTCAGCTAATCCTACTGCAGCTGAAAACTTGTAAATACATTCTTTTAACATTGTCCTCTTACTTGTATTTTTATACCTCTGTAAGGTTTTAATTTATATTAAGCTTCTAAAACCAAAATTCTTCACATAATAAAAACACGTACTACATGGTTTTATGTGTATGTTTATTATTTATAGATTAAAAACCGGTTTTTCGTTTTTTTCCCTGATGGTTTTCGGTTTCCATTTTTTTCAAGAGCCGCCCCAGCCTAGGGTAAGGGGGAAAGTTCCCCCAGAAAATTTTTAAAATTTTGATTCCTGAAATGGCATTTCATTTTGCAACATTCTGAGAGCACATTTTGTATGTAATTTCAGATTTTCAAAACATTAATTTAATGGTGCATTTTGTTATAAATCATATGCTAAGTATAAAAAACCGACATTTCAGAGAAAATATTCTAGATGATTAAATACATTTGTGAATGGAATTGCAAGGTGGTTTAACTCTTTCTCGAAAAGTCCCACACATTGTCAGCTTCTAGAAGCTGAGGACTTTGTATGTTCATATCTTCGGTCCACTCACTTGCATGCTATGAACTAGACAATAATACTGGCCACCATTCGATTCAGTGAAACAATATCAACTAATACCTATAAGATATCTGAATTCGCAATTCCCCTTTACATTGTGGTTATAGTGGTATCACTGATAAAGATAGCAATATTTTTCAGTTTTCATATTTAATTTTAAAAAAATTGATTATTGATAATATATTTGCATTTCATAAAGCTATATTATACCGGTTCAATCATTTTAATTAATAATAATAGTTGCTCGCTTAGAAACTTTGTAATGCGCGCACAACTACTGTACAAGTCAAAATGTCAGATAAATTATGGTTAATTATTACTTGTGATACTAATCTTGAGATGCGCCATAAAGTTTTTGGTTTACAAACATGTGCTTTTTGGTATCCTATACATGTGATTTTTGACGTCATCCGGCTATGGGAGCTCCTTATTGGCCAAGTATAGCGTGTGGCACGCGCATTACATTTTTCAAAATGAAAGCTCGCTAAATTTTTTTTTTGGGGGGGGGGTGATCGCCGCTGATAAAATTGCAATTATAAAGAAACTTATGACATGTGGCTGAGCCCGGGAAATTTGATTGCCCATCAAAGCATTCAAGCAATCAATTATCAGGCCCAGCCAGTCTTGTTATCAGAATACAACTATAATCGATAATGGTTGCTCAATATACCAGTATACATAAAATTCCAGTGTATGCCTGCCTGAGTTTTAATCTTGGGTAAATCTATAGGGTACCAGCCACTTAATACCTAGTATATTTCAACCTATATTTAACAATAAAATACTGTATACCAAAAGTAACATGGTCTAAAATTGCACTGGTCCTGGAGTGCTACCTGCAACTGGAAATTTGAAGCAAAGCTTGAGAATCAGTCACAGTCTGTTCATGCAAGTAAAGAGTGTGGATGAATGAAATTCAATACTGCCTTAAAATTTACAAAAAAGAAGCCTTTTAACTGGGATCGAAGCTTTTTATTAATGCCTTTATTCAGCTAAAACGTCCTAGTGGACCTTACTTTTATTTTTTGTCTAGTGTTATCGTATTATATTTATTTTTTGTCTAGTATTTATTAATTGTTTTCAATGCTCTTTCAATAAGAGCATTTTTCAGCAATAAAAGTGTGCCAAGGAGTGAGGGTTCTTTCAGTCACTTTCGGCTTGGATGTTTTGTAATAATTTTTTTTTTTATTTTCCACACTGGAAATTACTCTGTTTATCAACTACTGAAACTGTTTTTTCAAGGACACATAGTGACATAGTCACAAATATAAAGATAGTATATTTGAGTATATTTAGTATAGTTGAGATAATATAAATAATTAAATATATGAAACTTACTTGCATATGATATTGATATTTTTATGGTTTATATGAAATAAAATTGTTTATACACTACCAACATGTACTAGATGGGACCTTGCTTGATTATGGGACCTTGATGATGGCCTCCAGTGATTTGTTATTTAATCCATTGAAGACAAGCGCTTTCCCCTTGATGAGTAAAATCATCTGGCATCATACAGTAGTAAGTTGGGCACATTAGGTCAGTCCAGATCTGTTTCGTTGATGTGGAAGGTGGGAGATTAGTAAGTGGGGAGGTCTTTATAAGTTTCTTCCCTTAAAAAGGGACACATGCATTGTTAGAGAGAGGGGGTTATTTTTTGTGGTGGTGGTGGGCTTAATAGAACATGTACTGCTAGAAAGTAGAAACTTTGCATTATCCTTGGAATCTCTGAGTTTATATAGTTACTAATTTGTCAAGAGAAACCAAAGTCCCCCAGCTGAAACACATGTGAGAAACGAAGTGAGCGTATACTGCACGAGGATTCCACGCTCAAACACGAGACTTACCAACTTCCTCCTTTTCGTGAAAAAAGTCTGTATGGTTCTTTTCCTAAATTTATCAAAAGTTAAACATCTTGAGCCGGTTGTAGTGTATAAACAGGTAGGTGAAGCAGGGCGTTTTTAAGAATTCGTCACTTGGGGGGAAGGGTGGGGCGGTCAATCTACTTATTTATTTTTATTTATTTATTTTATTCGTCTTGTACATATTACAGTGGCAGGGAATCCGCAACAGCGTTTGCCAATTACTGCGGGCCCGAACAAATAAATTACAAAAATACATATATTAAACAACAAAGAGCAGTACTAACAGTTCCTACATACAGCACAATAATGACGCTGTGAGGCTACGAACAGAATTACACTTAGGACATATAGTTTTATAACGTAACACGAGTACAAAGAGGAAATATAGTACTTAAACATTGCCGACTTAAATGACGAAAGACTATCCGTATTCAAATTAAGTTCATCATATTCGAGTTGCCCGAATCATGAAAAATCTTTGATATGTTACCGTTTTGCATTTTGGCACGACGTAACTTAGTACTGTTATTGGCGGAGGATCTAGTCGATCTGGAAGTGCGGATGTAGTGAAAGGGACCGTACTATACTGATTATGGAGAGATGACAGATGGTTGTTGTCGTGTGTAATAGTAGGGGGTCTGGGGGCATTCTCCCACAGAAACCTTTTTTGTATTTTTCCACCCCTAGGGCTGCATTTTGTGTGTTTTCTGAACCTAGCCTTCCAACAGCTCAAATGTATAGGGTCTCGGATATGCTATCCACTTAAAATCTAAGGTATTTGCAACACAATGTTTAGCATATTTAATTAAAAAGATATTGAATCATTTGATGATAAAAGACATGACATAAGATTCACAAATTTCAGTTACTAGATCAGTAGAATATCAAATCTCGCCTCGAAATTTTATTTTTCTTCCGATGTTTTGCTTAAATTTTAGAGAAAAGGGACTTTGACCTGGGGTGGGGGCCAAATATTGACCCTTGGGGGACTGGGGCACAAAGGGGGACTTGGGGCGCAAAGGGGGACTTGGGGGGAGGGGGCAAATGCCCCCAGCTTATATGTTAAAAAGGTCCTGAGTTGAAGTGAACTACAGTTAGTTCGAATGTTCAGCAATTAAAGTCGCGTATTTTAGAGTTCACTAGTATTTACCTACACTGTACAAGCTAGTGCCTGGATTAAACGAGGATGAGAATGCATGAGAGTTGGCAGTCACTCAACCTTCCTTAGCTGTTCTTAATGCTTTGCCAACACCATTATAATTATATATTCGATTTAAGTTAAAACATATAGTTGGACCAATTACAAAACCTTTTTTTTGTTAATCGAGAGCTTGGAACGCCCCCCTGTAACAGTGTGTGACTGTCAATTAAATTCTGTGAATATAATTTTTTATTTTCTCATTTGAAAGAACCTTTGAAACTATATATTAACTTCTTTTACCGATTTTTAATATCTTGCTTAGTTCTTGAAATATTTTCACTTGAAATAATGAGATGTCCGCCATCTTGGATAATTTTTTGATCCGGCATTAACGGTAGTTTTGGTGACGTCACAACAGGGATTAACCATATAAAAGTATTCGTTGCTGACCAAATATTGATTGGTAGATGTTTTAAAGCTTCTGAGTGATCTTGAGTTTTCGAAGTGCAGACAGTGTCAGTGTATAGTTTTGAGTGCAAAATGATTATTTAGTGTTTGTCTAGATAAAAATATCGCGTGACCCCTGTTGTGACGTGACATGACATGCATATCTACAAAAAATGAAAATTGCGGGCATTTCATTCCTTTCGATCAAAATATTTGTAGAAGTAAGCAAGATATGAAAAAACGTTAAAAGAGTATTATATATAGTCTTAAAAGTTCTTTCGAATCAGAAAATAAAAAAATACATTGCCATTTCCCTCTAAGATGAAAGATGTATCGTATACTGTAAAGAAGAGTAAGATACTGTACATGTTTTAAGCGAATCTCATTGATATTTGAGCCTTTGGCTTTGAGGATGAACTAAAACTTTTCCCCATGTAGTATTACAGTATATGTACAATACATATTGTATACATAGTGGTACAATGGCTGATCAACATAATGAAAAGTAGTATGCAACAATATAGTCTTAATTATAGTGTCAATTTAATTTATTTCTATAGTGATTTCATAATCTTACCTGGTTATATTGATTTTACGCCAGATAAAGTGGTAGGTATTAATGGAATAATTGTATTAATTTGTAGAAGGTGCGTCAGTTCTGAGTCAATAGTGATGGACCGATATCAATACTAAATATTCGATACCAGCGTTTGAAAGAAAAGTATCGATAATGTCGAAAAAATATCGATTGTTTCGATACTGCTGAGCCTGTGATCTTTTTACTTTTTTGCCAGCAGACACTACAAAAACGGTGTTGAAAGATGTGCGAATGCTTCTACATTTCCAAAGTTTCGCCGCTTCAATCTCATCAACTTTGGTTTTAGTTATTAATATTGCCTTTTGTTGTTTTCGCTTTTTGTTATATCCGTTTTTGAAGCATTTGGAACATGGCTTGCTCGCCTCTAAAACCGAGTTGAATGTAGGCTTTCTATTCTCTCATTGTTTCCATTTGTATAGGACTTAACGTCATCTCTAACAAAGAAAATAACATTAAAAACCCCTTTGATTAGCTCGCCTATGGACACTGTAACTGGTAAGATTTCTTTTAATCTTTACTGCTTGCGTATCAAATTCATATTACAATTACAGTATGTACATTATTGTAGTGATGAATCTATAGCCATGGCAAAATAGGTTACAATACATTGTGACAATGCATTTCTAAAGGTCTGATTAATGCAAATCATTAAAAATTCGCACAGCATGACGTTTTGCTATAGCTTCACCACTGCATTATTGCCATTAATGATTTTGCGTTGTATTGACATACTGTTTTATGTGCTTTTTCTATAACTGCTACAGTATGTATGTTGATAATGGCAATGTAAAAATTTTGTAAAGTCAACGAATACTACTGTGCAGTGTATTCACCATGCAAATTGTAGAGAAAGTGGTTGTGTACTTTTGAATACGAAGCTGTTGTTCAGAGTTGAAGATTCACAAAACGTTTAATAGAAAGAATATATTTTAGTTAGACAATTTATTCAGCAGGTTAATATAGGGTTTTAGTATTTTTGCACAAGTGAACATAACAAATCCTACACGTTGATTGGTCAAATATGACTTATAAATAAGCTGTTATGTTCACCTACAGGTGAATATAACAAAACAGAAATTTTCAAAATTGCGGCTACCCGTTTTGTGGAAGTTTACTGACAAAGAAATAAGCGAAATTAAAATAAATTAAGTCTCAAAAAACACAAAAGCTTGTGTAAAAATACTAAAACAATTATTCTCCTCAGGCTCGGTGATTATCCGGGAATATTCAACTCGACTTCGTCTCGGCGAATATTCCCCGATAATCACCGAGCCTTCGGCGAATAATTGTTAAATATTACAGTATGTCGATACCTGTTCGTCCACGAAGGACTCGACAGTGCATGTGCAAAATCGTTTTACCGTGCAAGAGACATGGCCACCGAGACGTATCGGTCCACGAGCGACCTGGAGCAAAACGTTCCTATGACCTCATAATTGTTAAACGGGAGAAACGGCGTTTTACAATATATTACTTTTTGCATATATCATCCGGCACTAACGCAGCTTTTACAGGATTTATATTCAGGATTTATATTCTCAGTTAAGCAATCTTGTATCAAGAAATCTCGTTGTTTTAGGGGCCCTTTTTGAGCTGGGATCCCGGGGCAAAGTGTCCTTTCCCTCCTGGCCCCCCTCTTGGCGGGCCTGATAGGCGTGCAACAAAACAATGAGAGAATGGCTGATGAAATATTATGGAACATTCCGATCACTGAGACGTGTTATTGGATGGCACTCACGCTATGCTATGCTAAGTTTCTTGGAAATGGACACTAAATTGACATGTTATCCTAAACCACATTAGAAATACGACATTGAGTTTTCTCTTTCATTAATTTTAGAGTCAAAAATGGCCATTGCTATGGCAGTAAGTACATTATATTATATACTGTATCTTCAGATTTTCTTGTATCTTTAATATTTATCCTTTCAAATACCTGTAATATATTTATTTTATTTACGCGGTGTGCTTTTAAGTAAACATTTCCAAAAATTTGTTTTCTCACAAAAGACGGATTGTACATTGATTTTCCTTATGTACAAGAACTTTCATATCGTTCTTACAGTAGTTCAACAAGAGTTTCATATCGTTCTTACAGTAGTTCGTGAAATATGTGGACCGAAAACAGCGTAAATTCAGTGATGTAGCCAGGATTTCTAGTCAAGAGAAGGGGAGCCGATACTGTCTTTTACCCTGCGCTATTTCGAACGAAGTTTGTTTATTATGTGAAAATGTATTTGGACTCCCACGTTATCCATGCATAGGATGGTACAATGAACGTTTAGGGGGGTCCGAGGGCAGCTCCCCGGGAAAATTTTTAAATTCTAGAGTCGGTAAAGTGCCATTTTGGGGGCTATTTTATTGTGATTTATTTTTAATAACCATTTAACACCTAACAATTCTAACCAGAACATTTTAAACATAGCAAGATAGAAAATTTCCATTACAAGAAATGAAAATATAATGCACATGCATGCTTGTACTGGGCAGAATTTTTCCAAGGGGGACCCAATATTTTGCCAGGGGTAGCCGGGTCCCCCTCTGGCTACGTCACTGCGTAAACTAGTGGGCTGTCCGCCATCTTCGATTAGTGTTGGTACCCCAGTGAGCCCCATAAACCATACATGTACATATCTGGAGCGAGAACTCGAGTCCAAAAAGTGAAGCCAGCTTCGTGTTAACCGCGCAGACAAAAACGATAGAAAGGGACTGGAACTGACGTCCTCTAGCTCCTTCAATTTCCGCCATCTTGGCAAGGAGTGTGCCGAAATTTTGTATTTTGACACCGATTTAAAGAATAACAATGCTAACCGTGCTTTTGACGTCACTTGTTATTGTTAATGAAGTAAAAGTTAATCGAGGATGGCGGACAGTTATTTTTTCAGTGAAAATGTTTTAAAATTTATAAGCAAGGTGTGAAGAAATATTTATCTGCCAGGGAATATAGGGGCTATATAATAATAAGCGAGTGAGGGCTGTACGTGAAAATATCAAACCGAAGGTCTTGCTGTATATTGACCGAACGATAGCGAGGCATGGCCGAGTTTTGATATTTTCTAATATATGGCATTGTACGTTTGTAAAAAATGAAAAACATGTCATGTATGGTCACACGAGGGAAAATTACAAATTCCGAAACATTTGCAAAATATCAACTGTACAAATTTATCTCTTGGTTAATGGTTAGTGACACTGGTCTACAGCACCTTTTGTAGAATATTAACAGAGTTTTGAATAGTATTTCAAGGAAATGACGAAGTATACTTAGTCATTATGAAAACAAAATATATAAATAAACAAACAGTACCGGCAAGTATGGTTTTAGTTCGCTTCATTTCATCTTCTTTATCAACAGAAACAGAGTTTTCGAAAAACTGTATCAAACTGTTTTAATTGTATTTTTGTTTCCGATGGTGTCAAATTCTTTTGGGCCATCTGCCGCTCTTCGCATGTTCAAAACAAAATATCCTTGACTGCATGCTTTAATATAATTAAAAACATTGTAAAATGTTCCTTATATTTTCGACTTACGCCAACAAATCCTTATATTGTCTGTGTTAAGAAAGTTCTTTAATATAGCCGCGGCAGTTACCCCTTTCCGTATTTAGGTCTATTTTTCTTCGTTTTGAATATTTTCAAAGACTTTTAGACATTTTTTTGTTTGAAACTCGGCTCTCGTCGCAGCTTCATAGAGCAATAAAACAAGTACAGTATACTTGCCATATAATAAAATCCTATATATACACACTTGTCACACCTATATTTAATTATATGACTGTCTTTACGAGCACGACCATTCAAAATTACCGACACGTTTTACCTTCGCTCTTGTAGTTACAGGGTGGTATTGGTATCGTTCATCATAATTGTTCAATTGAGAGCCAAGCAAACGAAGTTCGTAAAGTCAAACGTTTTGAACAAGGTTTTATAATCGATCCTGTAGCAGTCGGTCCGGATGCTCTTGTCAAAGATATTTTTGATATTAAAGACAGACAAGGATTTTCAGGAATACCTGTTACCGGTAAGTTAAGGGAAAATTTAGTACTTTTTATTCTCTTTTTTGTAAAATAGCAAACAGTTTGGATGAGGCGGAACATGGTGCACGATCGAGCTCAAGTTTATCCGAAGGTTGAGGCGCGGTAATATTGAAATAAGTCTGGATACTTCATGATATACATAACTACTTGTATACGCGTGTAAAAATTATGAGCCCGCTTTTTAACAAGGTTGAACAATGTTGTGCTGCCCACGTTGTTCACTCTTGTCAACAATGTTGAACAATATTGTTGAGCCTGAATCGGGTGTAACAATGTTGTTCAATATTGTTGGCAACTGTGAACAATGTGAGCCGCACAATATTGTTCAACCCTGTTTACAACAATATTGCAACAACCTGATCGTTTTTAGCCGTGCAGAAGCTTTTCTGCCATCTTAATGCCAACATGATATATTAAGCCAGTCTCTACCAACATGATATATTAAGCCAGCCAGTGTCATAATTTGCCCTTGCTTGAAAGTGCTGTCTTTTTTGGTTGTCCCAAGTGTGACTTTCCATTGCGGCATCGTGGGCTCAGGATTGCGCAATTTAGCTAAAACATGCTCACGACGATTATTAGGACCAATTCTACACAATGTTAATCAGAACGACTTTCGTATTTAAATACGTTTCAAATCTTAGACGCTGTAATTGTGGGACATATTTTATTATATTTCATTGCGCATGCGCTTGAACTTTTCTGTGTTTTTCGATATGATATCGCTGAACTCTATTGGTTTTGTATGGTTTTATTGTGCCGTCCTCTGAGTGTTTGTGATCATGAAGTGACGGCCGCCAAGAAGTGAAGAACATCTACATGTTTCAAATTATTTTTTAGAGTATTGCGATGGCATTTTACCAACCGCGAGGCCAGTGTGAACGCCTGAGCAGGCGTCTTGTTTAGCTTATATAGCCATCAGCTAATAGGGAAAATAAATAAAATTAATATATCGACACCACTTACTGTTGCCACGTTGCAATTGTCTGTGTCAATTATATTTCGCTTGCATGAACTGATCTTACAGTACACTATATATAGATGAGGTCATGAGGGTCAGGTATGTGTTCCATTTTGTGTGTATCACAAATTGCTTGCCCGATACAGTAAGCTAACTAATCAGGGTTTCTTCTAAAATTTTTATACTGTAAAAGTGGTTGCCAAATTGCGCTCGACTCGTAAAAGAAACACAACTCAATAATGCATGCAAGAAAATGAATTTATTACTCGTGTTATTATTAGCATGACAAAATTACTGGATGCTGATTGGTTGAGAGGAGTACAATTATTTCATTAATTGTACTGCAGTACAATTAATGATTTTCCCAAAACAAACAAAATGGCGGAAAGGTATTTTAAACACAAATGTGAAATGAAATTGCAGTGGAGGAACTAGATGAAAATACGAACAAAAGTACAAAATTTTGCTTGAACAAAAGAACTAAATGAAAATACAAACAAAAGCACCATATTTTAGTTGAAAGTCTGGCTGGACTGGGCTTTGGCGAGAGAATATGATGTTAACATTGAGAAGTACGTATCTAATTTTGTCATGCTAACAATAAACAAGTAATCATGCGATGTTGCTCGTACAATTAGGGATTAATAGTACTCGTGATGTTTGGAAATTTGCCAAATTGGACTCGCCCTGGCGGCTCGTCCAATTTTGGCAAAATTTCCAAACATCACTCGTACTATTAATCCCTAATTGTACGAGCAACATCGCATGATTACCTGTACTAATTGCTCTCATACTTACATACAGTATAAATTCAGAAAAAGTACTAAACTATAGTAACCTTGGCTCGGAATAGGTATGCATGCATGTATGAGAAAATGGTGACAACGAAAACGTTGACAGATAATATTTTTGCTCCAAATGTGAATAAGAAATGATTATTTCCGGGCAAAGTGCCACATGGCATGTTTTGCTTATCATTATCATCCTACTTCAGTTAGATGTTGTGTTATTTAGAGAGTGGTACCATGGGGAGTGTTTTACTTGGTATTGTTACACACCGTGATGTAGACTTCCTGAACACAGACAGCCTTTCGATGCGGGTCACAGAGGTGAGTTACCATAGCTCGACAAGTGGAGAACATCCTCCTAGTCGGCTTTTTCTTGAACATTCGCACGCTATTTCACATGGTATTTCATATGTGAAATTTTGTTTGGAATTTGAACATTTCATACGTGAAAAAATGCCATTTCGTATTTGCATGAAATTGCAGTTTTCACGGGGAATTAGGTGACATTTCTGTGGCCGGTTGTACGAAAGCCGGATAGCATGCACTTCCACCGGATAGTGACTCTTTAAATTATTTGTTTGTAATAAAGCCCGAAAGGCTGAGAGACCATGCACGGATGGAGAACCCACAATAAATATAAAGAGACTTTTAAATACTAAACTTCAATGGGTTATGGTATACCAATCGACGACCTATTTTAGAAAGTTTCAAAAAATTTTCGACTGTGACACAGATATACGCGATAGAAAAAAACAGTTCAGCAGTTCAAGACAATCGTCGTCATGTAATCATTTGTATATATCCCGAAAGTTTTAGCTGCAGATAGAGATGTCTGGAAAGATTTATTTTAGGCGAGCTAACTATATCGACAAATTGGCAGGTAATGACTCCAAAAGAAAAATTGATCGTTGCCAAAGCTGGTTGTACGTTAAAAGAAGCAAACAAAATTCTTCAAGAAAGCAAGAAAGGTAAATGTACTATTCTTCTTTGTATTCTTCTACAGTACATGTATTTTATGTAATGAGCCGTCGATCCGTATTGGCTTTAGTTTACATCAGTACGAAGATTTTTAAAGCAATTATTGATTGAGGTTGAGCACGATATGAAGAATTATCAAGCCCGACGTTTGTGTTATCAACCCGAAGCCACAGGCTGAGGTTGATAACACAAACTGAGGCCTTGATAATTTTTCATAACATGCGAAAACCGATTTCAATAATTGTCTTATCAAAAGATAAAAAGATATTTGCAAAAGAAAATCTTTCCTTTTTCTTTCTGGTTTCAAAGCCCTAAGCCCTTCGTGGCTTTTTTCAATTCTTTTATATATTTTAAATTTTCCATCCCACGACCGAATGCGGCGCCATATTGTTTTGCTCGTGTTTGCACATTTCGTATTTCCATAGCATGACGTATTTTTTCATATCAGCATTGTGACGCACTCCGTTTGGTATTAATGTCAAAACTCCACATCTGGTCAGCTATTGAGTTGATATGACAATTTCACAATTGGTTATTAGCCGGGCAGAAATCATGAATTCTTTTAATTAAATAGTCGTGCTTATCGACTACTTAGAGCTACTGTAGTTTCTTTTAATTGAGAAAATGGAACGAAATGAGAGCCTGGGGCAAAGTCTACGAATTAAGGCGGCCACTTTTTAATAGACGATCATGAGCGACTTGAAAAAATGTTTTGAACAGCAAATCGCTTCTTTGTGATATTTCCTGAATACTTCAAAAGTTGTCAGCTGCTACGTATTTACTTTATTTATTTATTTATTGCATACGTTTCGATACTGTCTTGTCAAGGGACGCCGGTATATTAGAATATATGAAAATCGATTCCAAGCACCATGTTTTTTAACCACGACCACGGAGACATGTTGCCACTCCCAAGGTATTTTATGTGACGGCCAGCTTTGACCCCCTGGCTTAAAAGTGTGATTCGCAATACGTGACGTACTGACAATAGTGTACTTTCAGTAATTTTTTTAACTTTGTTTTAGGAAAACTGCCAATTGTAAACGACAAAAATGAACTAGTTTCTTTAATTGCAAGATCTGATCTGAAGAAAAACCGCGAGTATCCTCTCGCTTCCAAAGACAATACCAAACAACTTCTGGGTATCATGATTTTAATATTTTTTATTTTCGGGTGTAGAAAAGTATGTTCCGTGTATAATCCAGTAATCACTGGCTGCGGCGGACATTTCGCAAATATACCAGGGGTATAGGAATTTGGGTTGTCAACACTTCCATGCCCATGTGATTTTGTACTGCATATTTAGGTCTTCAAACTTTAGGATTATTAGCCTTTCATAGATGGAAAATACGCGAGTTAAACATTGAAAGTGTTGCCAGCTGTACCCTTACCCACTTGCTACGGGCTTTCTTCTTGCACAGCAATCATGCCATAGACCTGGTCCTATATTCGGAAGAATGGTAAACAATCCCGACCAGTGCAATGCAAATGCGACTCAAGTACAGAAATCATGGAAAATGCACCAGAATTCATGCTGCGAGCAGGCTACGTTGCTCCAATCTGCACATTATTTAAGGAGAAAAGCCGCTGACCAGTCTTTGACTAAAATCAATCACATTTGAATTTGTGAAATATTAAAAAAATGACAACCATATTCAACAGCGTCTGAGGCTTAACCCAGAAGTTCCATTTTTTTAAACTGTGTGAATCTCGCTGCACACGAGAACAGTGGGAATGATAATTTGTAGCCTCCGAGCAAGCTCGCTGAGGCTAAAAACAAAATTAACACGAAAGCCATACGACTTTGAATAATTTTTTTTCCCAAATCAAGACGCAAAATTTTTATTGGTCAGGATTTATATTGGCAGTTCGTTACGTTGCTATTGATAGAATATAGCACATCAGGTTTTTTGCGCGACGTGCGAATTGAAACTTATCCACATTTTTACATGTAATATGTCTTTGAAATTCAGTGCATGCTACACAACATGACATGCAATAGCCTACACGTACATATTTGCACGTCAAACAATATTTCACAGTGAAATGGTTTACCTGATATAATCGACGCTCGGAGGGAAAACTTATACATATTACCACATGTTACATATTTTTGGAATAGTCACATAATAATGGTGAAAAACGTGCATGAACGAATCGACGTTTGGATACTTGGTTTCATATTACCAGTAACATAACAATTTAAAATTTACGCCTTATTTTAAGTTCATATCTTGGGTTTTCAAGATGTTTTCATTTTTCCGAATTTGTTTTATATTTTCTTTTCTTAATTTGTGGCTGGTTCTCGCTTTTGAATAATTTTATTGCCTGTAAGATTTTATTTTTAGGGACCATATTCCCCCTCGTCGGGGAATTTCTCATGGCGCCACCACATCAAAATAAGATGAAAAATATAATAATAATAATATTATTATTAGTTTGGAATTTCAGTTGACGGGCGGGTATAACAAAAAACGGCTATTTTAACGTAATGATCGAGTTTAGAGACATACAATTAAAGACTCAAAAGATGAATTATACCAATCAGTTTTTATTGTACAACCATTCTGATATAGGAGAAAAAGCGTTGTTTGATTGCCCGTCATTTGGATGAAAAGTCACGTGATTGCAAACAAAGAATTGGCCAACACTGGACGTAGGCTCGCGTTTTGGCATCATGTGCATGTTGATATTTTGCTGCAAAACTTGTTGTTGCAAAGCTTTATTGTTGCAAAACTGCAAAGCTTTATTGTTGCAAAACGGCAATATATAGTCGAAAGATTAGTAGTTTGAATGAATTTTCGAAATATATACTGTAGGTAATGTTATTTTGTGAGCTTTGATTTAATGACTAGTGTAAAATGTAATCTGAAACACTTCGTAAAATGTTTTGAAATGCTAATTCTCAACTTAACTGCTTTTGCCCAAATTGTTGAGTAATTTCAGTTCGGTCTTCAAATTAATTTGCTCCTTTACATTTTAAAGGTTTTTTTCTTAATAAATTAAGCAGGGTGATTTAGAAAACATACAGCTTCATTCAGATGGAAAGCAGTGCAAGTTGTAGACAAAACATTGAAGCAACAAAATTCATAAGCATTCAACATTCAACATTCAACATTCAACATTCAACATTCAACATTCAACAAACTTACCGTATTCCTCTTATTTTTTCTTCTCATTTCTGCAAACAAAACTTGATTCCACTCCTGGGATCAAACAGCCATAGCTTATCCCACTCCTGGGATCAAACAGCCATAGTTTTGAGATCAGTGTGGAGGTCCACCAATGAAACCTGGGGTCGTAGCCAGGCGCCCGCGATCATTGATGAACTGCGCTAATGCTTTCCTTTTTCCGGGTGTAAATAGCCGAGCGGAATTTTTGTTTCGCACGACATGTGCTACTTTTTTTCTTAGAGATTCCGGTACATTTCCGTTTTCACTGATGTAATATTCTACCTGTACCTTTTAGTTGGCGCGGCCGTAAGTACAAGAGAAGAGGATAAGGAGAGAATAAAAGCTTTGGTTGAGGCTGGCGTTGATGTCGTAATATTGGATTCTTCTCAAGGAAACTCGATCTTTCAAATTGACATGATCAAGTATGTGCTATAAACTTTTGCACTGTATTATAAGAAAAAATACGTTTCTCCGTATTTGAATAAGCTAAATTATCAAACACGATCTATTTTATGTTTTTGTTATCTAAAATTTGTTATGGATATCCGTGCAAAGAATAATATTAAAACATAGCAAATGCTCTCATTACTTTTAAGATTTCACATGCAGGGTAGCCATGCATAATTTCAGTTTTAATAATATACATATTACCAAACAGCAGTGCAATTTTCTGTAATCACAGTGCAATTTTCTGTAATCACAGTGCAAAAATCTGTAACAAACTGATCTGATTGGTGGAAAAACATTGTGATGATAAAATCAACCAATCAGTTTAAAGCAGTTTAGTTTAATAAGGAAGTAACGGTCACAGAATCCACTCACAGATTGCTTCAAAACAAAACAAACATGGCGCCGCGCCATTCAACGAAGTCAACTTTTACTTTAAAATGTATATTAAAGTAAAAGTTGACTTCGGTTGGAAAATATGGCTTTTATCTCTTTCTTTTTTTTAAATGGAAAAGCCTTTACCTTAAACAAGACTAACAAAACTTATATAGTTGAGCGGAATTTTCAAGCTGTTAGCGTTGTATAATGTGATATAACAAAGCCAGGAAAACGTTGCCAGTCGAATGTTCGTTATAAACGTTAAGTTAAAACTACAATTGCCTCGAACATTTTTACGTAAATTATTGATAAGCAATAGCATGGTTTCTCGTGAAATTTGGATAAACATGCACTCGTGAAATTTGGATAAGGCGTAAAAAAAATACCTGTGGTTCCGGTTTCATATCGCGAAAAAATTAGGGTCGGTAGGTCGGAAATAAACTTTTTTTGAATATTTTTTTCATGGTTTTTTCAATAATTAGCGTGACAACAGACACCATTTTGGCACTAGCCCGCAACCACTCGGAGAAAATAGGGTCGCACGGTCAATCGCGTTGAAAAAATAATAGGGTCGGCAGAAAAAAATAGGGTCGGTCGGGAACCGGAACCACAGGTATTTTTTTTTTCGCCTAAACATGCACTCTCGTCCTTCGGACTCGTGCTATTTTGAGGTCTTTGAAAAACTCATTCGTGCATGTTATATCCAAATTGCACTCGAAACCATGCTATTACCTATACATATACCTATACAAAGCAAACTAAACGGTGAGATTACAACAATTATTGACTTCACTGTTACAAGTTTTTCAGCTTCTTACGAAGCTTATTCAAAATCTTATTTGTTTCCAATCATTTCCGAGAATGTTTGCGTATATCCGTGATGTTTGCTCAATTTCCTTGAGTTGTCCCGTATCTACTTATAAACAGGCGTTGATAAATTTGTTGATCATGATAATAATAGACAGACTATTGAAATTATGTTTCTAAAGAACGAATCATAAATACTGATCACTTTTGTTTCTAACTAATCAGAATATTACAATTTCAATTAAAAATACAATAGCTGCAAAAATCGTTGAGTGTTGCGAGTTCTGTGTGCAGTCCTAATTGTAATTGCTCCCACATTAGGTACATCAAAGAACACTTTCCCAGTCTACAGATTGTTGGCGGAAACGTGGTGACAGTCGCTCAAGCGAAAAACTTGATCGACGCTGGAGTCGATGGTTTGCGAGTTGGTATGGGTAGTGGATCAATATGCATTACACAAGAAGTTATGGCAGTTGGAAGGTCACAAGGAACTTCTGTCTACAAAGTTGCAAATTATGCAAAGGAGTTTGGTGTTCCTGTTATTGCGGATGGAGGGATATCGTCCGTGGGATTCATCACAAAGGCTCTGTCACTGGGGGCATCAACGGGTAGGTACACTAGCTGTTTATGACTTACAGTAATTACGCATGACGTCACACAACATGAAGTTAACTATGGTTGAACGATGCATGGCGGTAAATTTGCCAACATCGATCGTTAAGGGGTAATAACCATACGATGTATATTATAACAATACCCTTCGAATTCGACTGATATAATTTACCCTGACCTTGCTAATTCCCGATAATTATCATGCACAAGCGCTTATATCTGGGCGGTGTCTTTGGGAAAATGGCCTTTTTCTGTTTCAGTTTTAGTCGTTTTAATTTCGTCGTCGAAAGTGGCATTTCCGCAGTAACCCAAATCCATGCAAACGCACTAAATGCTTCCTCGCATACAATTTCGTTAAATTTTCACCGAGTTGTAACGGTTTTATGGATTTCACGTTGCGTCGTACTCTGCACTTCATCGCGTGTTAAGTTAATGTGTTTTTGTTGGTGCAACGGCACCGATACTCCGAAATTTGGGTCTCCGAGTTGCTTTGAGTCTTTAGCAAGTTGCACACTTTTAAATATGAACAATGTACAAGGTAAAGTTCGTTTCATTAAGTTGCAAAATTCCAAAATTGACAGTATATATGTTATATATGACTCATACAGTATAATCCCGGGGCGAGGGTACTAATTCCCCTCGGCTATTTACACCCATGCAAAGGAAATGAAAGCATTAGGGAAGCCTAAAGTTCATCAATAATCGCGGGTGCATGGCTTGGCTTTATGCAGGGCCGCCGAGAGAATTCACGGGGCCCGTGGGTAAATCTTCTGTGGGGGCCCCATGACATCATTATTTTTAAGCTAGACCGAAGTCAGTCACCCAACTAGACCTTAGCTAGAGTGACTGAATGTGGAGCTACTGTAAGGGGCCCTTAATTTCAAAAATGCTCTGCCCAATTTAAAGCCTGAACCTACTAAATTTTAGGCTCTCGCTCTCAAGTTGGGGCCCTATTAAGGTGGCGGCCCGGGGCAATTTGCCCCCCCCCCCCGCCTCTCGGCGGCCCTGGCTTCATGGTGTCATGGGTGGACCTCCTACTGATCTCAAAAGTATGGCAAATGTATTGAACCATTGAGGGATTTTTGTAGATGAAAATTTCGAACGGAAGATTATATACAATTTTAGACCTAACCAGGAGCAGTTGTGAAAAATGATAGACCCTCTGGCAGGAATCGAACCTTCGGGCCTGCGATTCCAGGGCAGCGCTCTAACAAACTGAACTACAGAGTCGAGTTGTCGATCTAGAAGTTCTTGTATGTATATAGATTCCTGCCAGGGGGCCTGTTGTTGCATTTTTCGCAATTGCTTCTGGTTAGGTTTAAAATTGTACATTCCGCTCGAAATTTCCACCTTCAGAATTCCCTCAACTTTAATTTATCCCGACGCAGAACGCGTCATTTGGTCGCGCAGAATAGGTGGGCAATTTGTCTGAGCATGCGCGAAGAAAATCAATATGGCGACATATATTAGGAGTGTTTCGTGAATTTATCTGGTTTTAAAGCTGATAAAACAACATTTTAATGAACGAAAACTTTGTAATATTTAGTGGAAAACATTAAGCTATGCATTAATTCCAAAGGTTTTCCAAATAAGTGCTTTTGCTTTATTTTATTGCTTTGAAAACAGGCAAGCCCATTTTTTTGCAAAAATGTAATCTAATATTTTACCCAACATTTGTTTAATCTGAACAGAAATAGATAGAACACTTGGCTATATAAGTATTGTTAGCTGATCTGAAAGATTTCAGTATTCCTGGTACACATTTTAACAAAGAATGAAATGTAATTTCAAAAATTAAATATGCATATCAAAAACAATAGTTTTTATTAGAACAACATATAATAAGTTGTTATTTTCTATTTTTACAAAAAACAAGTTTGGAAACAGGATTTAGTCCTCCAGCTTCATGTCATATTCCATTTATTTGGATATTTCAATAAAGGAATGTGAAATAATAATTTAATCTTGTGCAAAATTTGATACCAACACACATGTGAACAGATACTATCACCTAAAAATAAGAGAACTGAACAGAACTTAAATTTATCATATAAAATAATATATAAAAATAACAGAAATATATATATATAAATAACAGAACTTAAATTTATCATCTAATGCTAGGAAAAAAAACTTATAGATACTACAGGCATATAGTGAACACAATTCTTTATTCTGTGATTTACATAACACTAGTTATAATTTAAGGGTCAACCAGTATTGTTTAAGACATATTTTCCTCCCAGAACACCTTTTCAAAATACTAACCCACACATGTCAAAAATAGTGTATATTTATTTATTAAAGGGCAATTTCAACCCTTTGGCACATTTTTCCTATGAATGATTTTAATTCTAATCAAAAGACTATAGATAAAACTTTGATTTAAAGCTAGTTTCAAGTGATGAGCATACCCTAAAAGAAGATGGGTCATTTCAACATAAACATTGAAATATGGTTATATTGACAGCTCTGTCACACATGTCGTTTGGCATTAGCAGACCTTCTGAACCATTTTAATGAAAGTATAGTTCACAAAGTTCACATTTTCACTTCTTAACATCTGTTTTAATCCAACTAGTTCCGTAGGCACGAGCAAAATTTAGTGTTGATGTAAATATTCAAATCCAGTCGTTTCCCCGGTGTGAATGTAGTCCATTCCAAAGCTGATTTCGACGTACTTTAGCTTTTCTTTGGCCTTCCTCAGTAAGATTATCGACTGTTTCACAAACATATTTGATAGTAAACAGCTAAAATGTTCTCCGAAAGTCTATATTTTTGCTCTTCGACGCGAAAATGGCAATTCAGGAAGAAATGAGCCGCTATTTTTGTCAGCGTCGACAAATTTCCCACCTGTTGTCACGCAGTGGATTTGTACATGCGTATTTTTACATGCGAAGACTGGAACCTAGGTAATTTGGGGCATCAACCTCGTATCGTCATTGGTCGATTAAGCCGCAAATCAACTGCCAGCTGCCGATTAATGGCCTATGGATCTATAGATCTAGGCTAGTATTGCTCATTAAACAAACCTTGAATAATCTTGTATTTCTCCATGGAGGCCGTATAAATCTTGTATATTAATCTATTAAACACTCTTCTGCACTGCCCGAAATGAGCCCCTTTTTTGTTGTTGTTCTCTCCCATCGGAAACATGCATACCAAGTCGAAAAACTCATATAGATGTAGCATATTGCAGGCGATTTAAGTTATTATCTTTGATATGTTAACTTTGTCTTTCTTGGAGAAATATAGCTGTACTTTAGTGAATGATATAATTTCATCATTCGTAAATAATTTAAGTCTTATGCATGCATGTTTGAACAATGTCAATAAAATAACGTATAATCTCGCGTATAAAGCATACAATTCATTAAAAAGAATCCAATATAAAGCGCTAAAATAAAGTTTACGTTCAAAGTAATTCAAAGCTAAACGTAAATACTTTAAAATTCAGGTTGACATAAGTTTAATAATTTGTCGACATATATTTAATAATTTCGAATGCTTTCATAATTTGGTAATGGATTTAAATTACCTTCAAGATTCGATTTACTTCATTACATTTTAAACTTTAGTCGCACCAATTTTAAAATCCATCTGGCGAGGTATTTGTATGACTTGATATAAACATGTCAATGCCATTACATAAAAGTCCTAATCCAGCATCATTGTAGTAATGTTACACCAGAAGTATATAACGGTATAAAACATGCAGACAGTGGCGTAACTGGCGGGTGTCCAGAGACGCCTGGGGGCCCCCGGCAAAAATGACCATAAAATGTTTGCTAGTACATTGGGCAAATTGGCCCGAGCCGCAGTTATAGAGGGTCAGAACATTTGCAATGGATGGCCCGCAAAAGCAGGAATTGGTGAAATTTGGACCCCTTTTTAGTGTAAAGTTTCACTTTACACTATTGTGATGACTGGCGAAAATTTAAACGAACAGCAGTCAGTCATGCAGTCAGTCATGCAGTCAGTCAGTCATTCATTCAGTGAGTCATAGAGTAAACTTTCCGGAATCCGGAGGGTGCATACGATTTATGTTTGTAGTTTATTGTACTTAATCAGTGTTTTAAAGGTTATTTAGGCAATTTCAGTTGTCTTATTTTAATATTCTTTTATACTTTTGCCAAGTTCACAAAAATTTCGAGGAACGTTTAGAACATTCGCTTCTCATGTTGTGTAAACGATCTTTCCCCCGGAACACCCGATTTTTCTTTAGCAGCGCAAATGCGCATGCGCTATCAAGCCGTAGATCAACGATGGCGTGACGATGCACGAAGGAGCGACACAGTGTTGTAGTTTCAAATATATAAATATTGCAGACGTGAATATTAAGTAAATCTTTGAGAATCTATACGCAATATATAAATTGATGTTATGCATTATGGGCATTCAATCAAGTATACCGATATTATTTAGACGGTATATTCATTATACAGTGCCGATACATATTGGTTAGACCGTATATTCATTATACATCGACTGTATAAGGTGCTACACTGCTACACCACAGAGTAGATGGCTACACTCAGTACAAAGAGCAAAAAATTGCATCAGTGTTTGTATCATTGTATGGCATTTACGAAGAAAATAACCAACAAAATAACTTGCGAGACTAAAGAAAATCTCTTGACTCGTCAGAGCTCTTTATTCAAACGAGAAAGACGAGGAGATAGCCATCGCGCGTGTTATCACCAACCGGCAAGGAGCTATCCAACGTGTACAGTCACGGGCCTTGTTCACATGTCTGGCACAACGGTGCAAACTCGTGCTCAATGCAATGAGAACTCTACCAGATCTTACGAGAATCTATTTGTATCAAAGCTTTATCAAAACTGCTATAAACACTGCTATAACTGTGAAACTATTGACATCTAAAGTGACATTAATATTGAATACTTGCGAAAAGCTGAAAATGACTCATGAAAAACAACTTGATCTTGGGAATATAAAGTCAAAGGTCACTGAGACTTGTTATTAGAGGTGTGCATTGGATCGGATTGGACGTTTGTAATCCGACAATTGGCTAATGTTAAAATCCAATCCGATCCGAAATTGTCTAATCCGATCCGAGTTTTGATAAAGAATTCCGATCCGAAGAATCCTTTAATAAAATAAATTTCTCATTCAAGTGGAAATATTTAACCAAATAAATATAAAAGCAAGAAATACATAGTCTTCTAGTCTACTAATCTTTTGTTTTTGTCGTGGATAATTAATTCATTTTATTTCGAATATCGAAGTCCGATCCGACTACGAAACAACTTTATCAATCCGATCCAATCCGAAATGAATATTTTTGTTCCGAAATCCGAACGAATCCGATCGGATCGGATTTGCATACCTCTACTTGTTATTGTAAAACATGTCACAATTCGGTTAAAATGCGGAAGCGGATGCGGAACTGATATGGGGGTAAAATGCGGAACGGATATGGGGATAAAATGCGTCATTTAATGAGTTTTTCGCCTCATTTTTACGTTTCTGTGTTTTTGATTTATGCATATTTTTTGTAATGGATGCAACGTCGTATTAACTCGTTATACAGCTATTTCAATTAAAGAGTGTCACTGAGACAATAGTCAAATGTGCAATATGGGCGCTGATAGTTTTAAATAAGTTTAGTATATCAGTAGCCTCATTGGGATACTTTCAGCGACAGCTCCCAATGCAAATGTAGTTTTAGAATATACAAAATTTGGTTGTTGGTGAAACGATTTAAATTTCGAGTTGTCGCGTGTAGCATCACAATAAATAAATTGTATCAGTTCCACGAGGCACGACGTTTCTGATGTGTTAGCCGTTAGGCTTGTTTCAAACGTCGCGCTACTTATACCGAACGCATTAAAAACAATAGATAATGAGATGAAATGCCTATGCTAACTGTTTATTTCGTAGTGTAAGCCATCAGCTTTACAAAACAGAAAGTCGTCATGCCCAAATAAGAGCTCTTGCAATTCAACATTTAATAAACGAGTTACGAAGGGAGTGACAAGGAATTGTTTATCTCTTGAAAACGTTGTTCTAATCCTTGGATCCCTTGTTTTAGTAGTTATGGTTGGGGTGTTCCCCTTTTTGTTTTTTCTTTTTGTTTTACTTGCCACAGTGCGGAACATTTTTTTGAACCCTCTTTTTTAATGAATATGGTTCGAAAAATTTGTTTTCTTCCCCCCGTAAAGATTTGACGGGGGGGGGGGGCTCCGGAGATTGCGTTACGCCACTGCATGCAGAATATCTAAGCGATACACTGTAAATTTTAACCCAGTGCCGTTGAGTGGGGCATTCTGCCCTGGGCTCCCAAGCTCAAAATTGGCCTCCAGCTCAAAATTAAAGGCCCTCGGTTTGGTAGATACAAGATTGCTTTAGCCAAGAATATAAATCCTAGCTGCGTCATTGCCAGATAATATGGAATAAAAAGTGCAATACAGGGTGTATAAAAAAAACTGAACAGATATGAATTCGCTCTCAATTTGGAAAAACAGCTGTTAGTATCCAGTTTTTGATGTATATAGCTTCTTTGGGTACTTATTATAATGTAGAATAATGTGTCCTTTCCAACAAACTAAAAATGGCTTGCGCACGAAACTTAAAAACTTTAATCATATTTTGAGTTAATAGATGGAACATTTGTTGGGTTTTTAATTACTGTACAAAATTTCAGACAATTTGCTTTAGTTTAAGCCCCCTTTAACTATTCATTTTTTTCTAAAAAATTAGCCTTTCGCATGCTTAATTAATGCCTGGCTAATTTGCATATTGCTGACTTACACAAATTAGGCAAAGGCATTAATTAAGCATGCAAATAGCTGAATTTTTAGGAAAACATTTAAGTTTGCGTGAATAGTTAAAGGGATTAAACTAAATCAAATTGTCTGAAATTTTGTACAGTAATTAAAAACCCAACAAATTTTCCATCTATTAACTCAAAATTTGATTAAAGCTTTTGAAATTTCGTGCACAAGCCATTTTTAGTTTGTTGGAAAAGACACACACCCCTGGTTCACAAAATTTGAGTTCGAGAAATTTTTTTCATTATTCTACATTATAAGTACCCAAAGTCGGCAAAGAAGCTATATACATCAATAACTGGATACTAATAGCTGTTTTTCGAAATTGAGAGCAAATTCATATCTGTTCAGTTTTATTTTATACACCCTGTATATTGTAAAACACCGCTTTTCGTGTTTTACAATTATGACATCATAGGGGCCCCTTGGGAAATTGTGTCCCCGGCTCCGCGCAAACTTTCGGCAGCCCTGGAGACGACTAATTTTCCTTTGCGTCGTGATTGATCACATACTGCAAAAAGCTGACGAAATTCGGTGACAATATTTATACCAAAGAAAGATATATTCATGGAATAGCCGTCGATGAATTTGCTATAAGTTCTGGTATTAAAAATATACAAATCCAAAGCCGGTTGGAATTTTGGAAGTCGCCGTGATTTTAAAACAGCTTTTTTACACTAAACAATTCATATTTTCTCGTTATATTTTGATTTATGGTTAGGGATGTCATACCAAAAAAGAACGAGTGTTAATTTGTCAATTAAGTTATAAAAGTTATGCCATGAAAATTCAGGGGAATAAAGATTACTGCTTCACCAACATGCCAATTATGAAATAAGTCATGGGCGTAGGAAGCCGAGGCCGCCCCCGCAATTTTCTATAAAGGGGCATGAATAACAAACCTAAAGCGCATCAAGTATATGTCCTATTGCCGTTTCATCGCTCTACCTAATAGACGCCCTGGAGCTAGATGAAAAATATAATTTCCCTTTTAGCCGAATGCACAACTAAAGTGAAGCAAAGTACAGCAAGGCGCCCTCTAGAATCTACAGTGTAGATTATTCTGGAGTATTTTAACACTCATTTTAACCTATAAGTGTTGTTCACGTGCTCGTTTCCGCCCCTTCCCCCGCCAGAAATCAGAATTTAAGTCTTATACAAGGCTTCAAGATTGTTGCCTTCTAGCTAGTTGCCTTCTTGCTTTGTTGTCATGCAGCCAATAAAAACATGTGCGTGGTATCTATTACTACACGTTAGGAGAATATAGAGATTGATATTTTGGATAAAATTGTTTACTGTCCTTATATGTTCTTGCATTACAAAAGAAATATAAAAATTAGTCTCATGCTTTTGTGAAATATTAATGCACTCGGGGATGTTGGGAGAACTCGCAAGAAGCGTGATCATCTCTAAAATATATACAACTATGTTTTTTTAAAGATTGTGTCCTTTTTTATATAGTAATGATGGGCTCACTTCTTGCTGGCACGTCAGAAGCACCGGGTGAATACTATTTTGCTGATGGGGTTCGTTTAAAGAAATATAGAGGTAAATGCATGGTCACCCAATGGCTGACTTTAACTTGAAATATATAATACTATAGTCTAGAATTGTATTTACTCCGACCCTTCGTCGACTTATCTTACGCAAGGACATGACTGCCCTGCGCCCCATTAAATTTTACTGGACTTTTAATGTAGGAATGGGATCACTAAATGCTATGGATGTTAACAAATCAAGTCAGGCAAGATATTTTAGGTAAATTTGCATCACATTATAAATTCTATAGTTTGTTTTAGTATATGAAGACTACTGTGAATAGCCAATCCATGTGCCTGCAGGCAATCCCCCAGGAAAGAATTAATGGGCCACTTGCCTTATAGCGATGCCCACTATGCATGACGGTAGGAGTCGTCACTTTGCAATCGAACGACATGATTTTGTTTTGAAGATGAAATGGCGGATTTTTAACCACTTTTTGCATCCATCGATAAATTTTATCCACAGGACAACAACAAGAGAGCTCTGAACTGCATGAAGATGTAATTTCATGGCGTTACGTGTATTAATGGCGAAGAAAATGCATTGGCAAGGAGGTGACATGTGAACACGTTTCGCAAAATGTTTTTTACAAAAAAACTGATCTCGCGAACAACAAATTAAGATCGGAAATTTTTTTGTCAAAATTAACTTTCACTGACAGTTGTTTGTACTGAATGTCTAGGTTAATTGGATTCGATAAGTTTTAGAAATGCCATTTTAAACTTTGTGAATTTGACAACTTTGTCATGATTTACATGTTGGAAGTTTTAATCCAGAGACCAAGCGTCTCGTCCATAATTTAGCTTAAATTTGCTCGATCTGATTAAGTTGACTATTGCTATAGCAAGAATATTTAATAGTAAATTTATTTCATGGTTGTTTTCTAATTCTTTATGATCTATTTTGCAGTAAAATTTAATATTTTGTACCGTTTGTCTTTGATACACTATTTTGTTTTTTAACTCTTTTTACTATTAAAATCGCTTTTTAATTTTAGAAATTTTATTAGTTTTATCTTTTTGAACGTTTCTAGGCTTGTTTTATTAATTAAATACATAAACATTTCACATGCAAAATATTTTTTGTGCAGGTATATATAGTAATATGGGTTGTTCTCATGAGGCAAAATTCCATGCTAGGAACTGGAAATACCTACTTGAAAATTACAGCCTACTTTTGGCAATTTGTACACTTCCATTTACCTAAATGTCTTTTGTGTACTGTATATTCTCCTATGTCTGAAATCTCTATTAGTGTTTGTAAGTTTGTTGTTTGGTTGTGTGGGCTTGGTACCATCTTCAAATAGGATGTGTAGAAGAAGAAGAAGATTTTATTACCAATGACAAAAAAAATATATATATATACATTAGTTAATATAGTTAATATATATGGTTAGGTAATAAGCTAACTAAAATAGTCTTAGAAGACTAGCCTAGTTAGAGAAATATAAGAAATCGAGGAAAACCAGATCAAATCACAAATATTCACTATGCACCAAGCTTTCTAGAGTTAACTCTTATAAGTATTTTTTTTTGTTAGAATAGTCACTGCATGGAACGCTTTGCCTGTGAACGTTGTCCAAGCGAATAGTTTTCATAGTTTTAAGCAGGAACTCAAGCGCCACATGAATATTTACTAATTTGCTAATTTACTAATTTACTAATACGTCTATCTTAGTTTACTAATATACCCTCATTAATGTATATACTATTAATACTTTTTATCTACTAATCTTTTCTAAGGGGGTTCTTATATAGGGTTAACCTTCCGATCCTCCTGCAAGGACCTACCTCCTGTATATAGCTCGTAGGTATCTTGATTAAACATTTTGATTGGTTGATTGATTGATTGATTGATTGATTGATTGTATAATATTATGACATAAATAATCATAACAGACTGGAGAAAGTATAAATTATTATATAATGAAAAATAAAGGGGAAAATATTTGTCGAGTTTGAATACCAATTGCATAAAACCAAATGGAGTTGAAACAAAATACTATTTTATATTAAATACTTATCAAGAATTTTGATAATCAAACATTTTTAAAATTTTATCTTCGATAAGTCCTTTATACTGTCATCAATTGAGTTCCAAATACTAGCACCGTTAAATCTGATATTAAATTTACCATAATTGGTCCGCACCCTAGGTAATGAATAACTAGAACGAGAAGCAAGTCTTGTATTATAATGGTGAATTTTGTTGACGGATGTGAAAAAGTCACTAAAATATTCAGGAATGTTACTTGCATGAAAATCAAACATCAGCAAGGCAGTATGCAAATACACTAAATCGTTAAATTTTAACAATTTTATAAATAGAGGGTTGGTGTGATCTTGAAATTCAGAACAGCTCTTTTTTGCAAAAGGGATATTGGTTTAGTTGTTGTCGAATAAGTATTACCCCAAATGACAATGCCATATAAAAAGTAAGGATAGACTAACGAATAGTACAAATTCGTAAGTACATTGATGTTAACGTACTGACGTACTTAGGTTACTATTAAACAAAATTCCTAAATAACGAATTTTAGTTTCTTCTTTCAAATCACAATTATTTAGAGTCAACCTTACTGGGGATAACTTCTTTTGAACTGTATGGAAGATAATAAAATTTGATTTATCAATATTAAGCGATAATTTATTTGCACAAAGCCAACCATTTATGTTCACTAAATGTTTGTTGATTTCCTTCTCAAGGGTGATTAAACTTTTATTAACATAAAATATGTTAAGTCTGGCAAGATCTGGTAATTGATATGCAAGAAAATGGTAAATGGATTTATTCTTCTAATGTCAACATAAAATATACTCTTCCACAGTGGCAAGATTAACTTGGTTTAATATTCATCCGCAGTCTGTAGCATGACCTGTGGTCTTTTCTACGTTTTACTAGGCAACCCAGTTTACCAGGCTAAGTTGATGCATGGCAACACAGTCGGTCTATGACCACTTGGCCTGGTAATATTCCTGTATGGAGACTGCAATTGAATATTAAACCAGGTGCGTGAATCTTCCTAAAGTCAATGTGGAAGATCAATTTATATTATCATTAGAAAATAACCCATGCATAGTCTATATTACTTTTGCACAATCTAAGCATGCTAAATTAAGATCTTTACTAGCCAGAATAGCCCAGTTAACAAGTGATATGCAATATTGACAAATACAAAAACAAAGCTCTTAAAAGTGATTACAATACATCAAATCTTTGATAGTTAAAACTTGTTATTCGTATAGACAATGTCTTTCAAGTGTCTATGTCATACTTCAGACACATTAACTTGTGTCAGGCTATCAAAGTTTGCCAAATCTCCCCAGTGGGGACTATAAGATAGAAAGCTATGAAATATTGTGACATAAACAAAACTAATGATGATCATTTTCACATAGTAGTATACAGTTGCTAGTATTCAATTTGTTGTCAGTATAGGCAGATGATGGGAACACCCATCATCTGTCTATAAGTCTCGTCATCATTTAAAACAAGGACTATATGCAGATAATACAAGCACGTATATAAATACACTTGCCTTATGTATGAGCCAAAAGCCCCCAAGGACAACCTAAATATGTCCTAAATATGAGGACAACCTAAATTTGCACCCCTGCATGCTGTTCCACCATGTATCCCCACTGACACTGCATGCATGAGACCATACATAAATCAGCATTTGTTGGCATTGTTCAAATGTCCAAATAGAAATTTACCTTTGGCTTTACAGACAACTTGAAGCATGATGAGTACATAATTTTTCTTGCAATCAAACAAGAAAAAGGTTCAGCTAATGAAGCATAAAATACACCTAAATTTCATGCTGTAGTACATCTGCAATTAAAGATTATAAACTGATCAAGCAATTTCCCACTTTGTAATTATTAATAAATATGTATATTTTCTATAAAAAGCGATGAAATAAATTATGAATATTTAAAATAAATGAAATAAAGATATTAAATATTCTTGCTATGGCAATAGTCATAAATGAAATAAAGATATAATAATAATTGAAATAAAGATATTAAATATTCTTGCTATGGCAATAGTCAACTTAATCAGATCGAGCATATTTAAGCTTATGAATTATGGCCAAAGACACGCTTGGTCTCTGAATTAAAACTTCGAACATTTGAATCATGACAAAGTTGTCAAATTCACAAAGTTTAAAATAGCATTTCTAAAACTTATTGAATCCAAATAACCTAGAGATTCAGTACAAACAACTGTCAGTGAAAGTTAATTTTGACCAAAAACTTTCCGATCGAATTTACCTGTTTTTGTTCGTGAGATCAGTTTTTTGGAAACAAATTTTTGGGAAACGTATTCACATGTCACCTCCTTGCCAATGCATTTTCTTCGCCATTAATACACGTAACGCCATGAAATTACATCTTCATGCAGTTCAGAGCTCTCTTGTTGTTGTCCTGTGGATAAAATTTATCGATGGACGCAAAAAGTGGTTAAAAATCCGTCAAGTATAAATACTTGAATAAAATTTTAATATAAACAACCGAGAAAATTGTTGTTGGTTCATATAAATCCTGGTGTGTATCTTCAAATTCAACGCTGTATCAACAACAGTTTTCTCGGTTGTTTATATTAAAATTTTATTCATTAAGTATTTATACTAGCCTCCTCCGCAGGCCTCTCTATGGGTTTTAGCCTGCGAATGGGTTTTGAAAAAAAATTTTCTGGGAGAGAGGCCTGCCATAAATCGAACAAAATAGACGTATCTCAAATATTAGTGGCCGTGTTACGTTACCCCACCCCCTAAGTAGGCTTTTGACCCTAATTATATATTCAGTTTGAAATCTTCGGGCGAGGAGCGAAACTTGCGAGTATTAACTCAAAAATGTTTTAAAATGCATCGAAATATTCAAGTTATACGAAAATTAGTTGGTCAATTGAAAGGATTATATATCGCAATGTCTCTCGCGGTCTAAAAACGACGTGCAAATTTAATTGAATCGCTCGCTCGAAGCAGCCAAATGTTTACAATGTATCAATTGTTCAGCCGAGGAACTACAATTTGAGGAAATTACTGGCATAATTTCGAACGCAAAACGAAGAATGGAACGATACGAAAGGTATAATTTGTTTAATAAAGGAATTATATTAAATTGTATTGTTTTCTGGAATATTATTTTGCCATGTTTATTTATATGAAGGGGTTGACATTTTGATTATATTTTACTAATTTTAGTCAAATCATCAGACATTTGGCAACATGTTAAGTGAATTGATATATAAAAGGAAAAGATCTTTCTGTTGAAGCAACCATTTCAATAAGTGAGGAGGGATAGCAACTTGGAAATATCAACTACAGAAATTTGATTACTATAAAAATCAAGATTTTGTTGACATCTTCAGCCTGGTTTACATATGCCTGCATTATCATTGTTTACAGCTGTTGATGCATACATTCTTTTGTGAATTATTTAGTTGAACTTTTAACAACAATAGCCCATCAACAAACAGCAGGTATATGTGAACCAGGCTTCACTTGGTTAAATAGTTAATTGGAACTCACCCCCTTAATTAATATCATGTGAATATGCTATGCATTAAGTTGCATTGTAACACATGTAACAACCTCTTTCTAATATAGTATATGCCTAGTTGTGTTACACGTACTGGCCACATGACATCCATGATTTGATAAATAAAGAAATTTATGATGTATCTGCATATTCTCTAATTATATGTATCTCCCTTGTTCATGTTTAAATAAAATTGCTCTTGACATATATTTGTTTTAAATATAATAAATCTAGATCAGCATGAATCATGTAAGAGCCAACAATGCCAGGGGCCCACAACAAGTTCTTGTTGTCTCATCGCTTGCCGGCACGCCCCTGCTTTTACTCTGTCTAACATCAGACAATTTTACTATTCCAGGAGAGAATGCAAACAATGGGCTAATCTAAAGCTTCACAGCTTACAATTAATATGTACCCACCATTGAAAGACTTTTGGGTGGTTAATGTAACAATTAATAGCAAAACATGCAGGGATGGATTTACTGGGGGGGGGGTGCACACCCTCCCCCTAGCCCTGGCCAGGGTGTATGTGTGTGCTATTTTTCATGATAAAGCAAAAAATATTAGAGACAAAATGAGATATTGTACACAGTACACTTGTACCACATGGAGGTTGTTTTGCCAAATTCTCAGAGTACAACACAACTCGAGTCACTCGACACCAGATCATGCTGGATCCATCCCTGAAAACACGTCTATCACTGGGAAGTTTCCTGAGTGACTGTTTGTATGGTTATAGGGAAATTTTCCTTGCAAAATGGATTTTACCCATGTAAATATTTTGTCTGTGAACTTTGGCAAGCAAAATGGAATGTATGTTAACCTCCATTGGTTAATTAACAAATCCAAGGCAAATGTTATTAAGACAGGTCTTCATACATGTTGCACCACATGGAAAACTATTAGATTCTTATTAAATTCCAGTTGTCCTTTCTCTTATGTCTACATTTATACTCACACCCATATATAAAACAGGGCCACTGATTTAAGAAAGCTTTTGCTATTTTCGCCACATCTGAGACACTCAAGTTTGAAAACTTTGTCTTTGTCCAAGGGATAAATTGCACAGTGTATTCCACAATAAGAAAGCTATTTGTTTAAGACTTTTATTAATGATTTCCTTCCATACAAGCGTATTAAAACAAGGCAAGAGGTGTTTATATATTTAATACGCAGGCACAGTCACAGATGTCAACAGTTGAATTTACATTTTATATATATTGACAATTTTCGATCGTTCCTTTTCGTGTTACAATTTCGACTAAATCACTGCACTTTCAGCTTATTATGATATAAAATGTCGTCAACAATTTGAATAGAAATTTGCATATATCAACGATAAACTTTCAATTGAAACCTTGTCTTGACATGAATCGACGACATTGTGAATTCACTGCTCTGCAAAGTCACTCGTTATCTCTAAACAATCCAAGTAAATCGCTGCGTCGGCTTTCGATAACGTTCTCAGCTCCTTAGTCAAAGTTCCCTTTGTATTTGCAATGTTGAAGAGCAGGATTATTCGTTAATTTTACAGTTTTACTCGTCTTGTAAGCCATCGTGTTGAAAACAAAATTTTCTTCACTCCTTGCCGTAAGCCCTTCCTACTCCCCCTAAGTTTGAGTTTGTCAAAATTTGCATGCGCGAGCCGGTATGCGCAGTGCAAATTTTTGTGTCGATTTATGGCAGGCATCTCACCAAACTTTTTCCCACCACCCGATTCGTCGGGTGAGATGCCTGCGGAGGAGGCTACACTTGACCAACTTTGTGAGTAATTTTTATTTTTCATTAAAATTAATGCAACAATAAAACAAAAATATGTCTATTTATATACATATTGATCAAAGGTCCCACAATAACATGCTGCTGATACTTTGTGGTACATTACATGAGAATACAAAAAAACCCTGCATATAATTGCACCTATCAATGTCAAGCCCCAGAGGGGGGTGGGCATATGTGGGGTATTTGATCATCAATTGCATCCCCACTCTGGGGATTTTGATTAGCATTTTGGGCCTAAGTTAGGGCAATTTGAACCAAAATGACTTTTATTAATATAGTATTTATTGCAATTTATTTCAAAATGGTGGGGTGTTTGACCAATACTTATTACCTAACAGTGGGGCATTTGATTGAAAATTTGCTCAAAAAATCAAATGCCCGACATATGCCTGACCCCACCCCCCTCTCTGGGGCTTAACATTGAAAGAACCACCATTTCTCAAACTTTATCTGAATTATTTGTGTAACATCATTACAAAATACTGTTAAAAAAAGGCCAAGTGGGCCTTCACTCCTATAAAGGGCATTCTATCCAATGGCATCAGACCAACATCTCCATGGCGTTGTTCTCCAAAGCATCGAGCTGTGTGATAAATCAGATTGTCTTTTTGACCAGCATGAAGTACGTACATAGCCTTGGCAACAAGTGGGAGAAAATTTCGAGGGACAAATTTAGCATCTAAACCAGGGTTAACTTTTACCAGCCATTTTTGAAACAGGTGGATGAGTAGTTATTCTGGTTGTTGCTGGGTTAGTTTTGAAAATCCAGAAGTCATACCAATAACATAACCAGAAAGGTGAACAAGGTTTTGGTCACTCGATGGAGAGACAATCATAGCATCGGAGATCTTGCAGATGTAGAAGGTCTGTACAGATTGGAAGGACAGATTTTGCCTCCAAATTTAATGATGATGCTTAATTCTTGCAGACAAAATCATTGACAAAAATAGAATCCAGCCAAAATCATGAACCTCAAATCTAAAACATCAGCCAAACAATAAATTTCACTTGTAAAATATTGTTACGGAAGGGCTTTAATTATTTGCACCCTTTAACTGCAATATATACAATCCATAATATATCGAAATTTCTATAATATATCACACTTCTTTAGAAAAAAGCGAGTAATAGCAGTTCATTATCGATCTGAGTGACAAGGCAACATATTTTACAGAGGGCTATATTCAACGGTGAATATCTCGAAAACGGTTGCGGGACCGAGGGGGGCCGGCTGGATAGAATTAAAGATTACACTTTTGTTTAACTAATCGTGAAAAAAATAGCGAAATCGAACCGTGGAAATTTGAGATTTTTGTCTTAAAAGATTGTTGACAGAAACGCCATTAAATTACATCGCGACGGCATAGCGCCTAAAGTGAGAGGTCAAAATAAACTGGAAAATAACGCTTACCTTTCAAGATACCGTTCCAATGGGTAGATTAACTGTTGTAAAAGTAATATCGCGTGAAATTTCCAAAAAAATGTGCATAACAATATGGAAAAAGTCGATATTTATGAGCCCTATGTAAATTTTCGATGCTAAAAGCTTCATGCGAGCATGAGGAAAATGGCGCAATCTGATTGGTCGAGAGATTCGCCCAGATTCGCCTAATTAGCTGTCCAACCTCCTCTGAACACAGACTTTAATAATATACAATTATAAACTTCGATACTCACTCTGTAATTCGAATTTAAATCAATGCTAATTGACTCTTACTAAATAACAAATTGTTAATTAATTTGGTATACGCTGCCATCGCAGAGGTAAAAACATTTATGAGGTCACCTGGTTTGTTGTTTTTATCCTGGAACATAAGATTCTGTAGTATCGTAAATCCAAGCTTAATGGATTTTGCATAATGGGTATTCAGAAGATAGAGTTCATTCCAATCAATACCAGGATAGCCTCTGGATCTTCATGTTCCTACTACAAGAAAGGTTAAAGATAAAAATATTAAAAGTTATAACTCACCAAGCAGGCTGTGGACATGAATTATATGCAAGTATATAAATGATATACTTGCAAGTACTGTATGTAAATTACATATACTTAAAATATTGTTGTTCCGATAATGATCAAAATACATGTATTTCACACAACCAGTCAATATTTAGTCATAATTTGAATTGCCGGTAAGATTCGAACAGGGGATATTACACATAATTTAAATATAAAAAAAATTTGTTTTGCATTGGAAAATATTATGAAGAGTACCTTTTATGGGCTGATGAGGCTGATAGAACAAATCAAATCTAATCTTTTGTTGGTGATGTACATGTGTCAGAGTAAAGTATTTGAGATTTGGGCAGAAAGTCTGGCTGAACTATTAGTTCTGGAAACACTTTTTTAGGGCAAGTCGAGAGGTTTAGGGCACATAGGCAGATATATTAGTTAACCAATTAACCAGAAGCACCCGATTAGCACGTTTGACGCTGGCTGACAGCCTGGTTCTAGAATGTTTCATAAGCAGAAAACTACCAAAATTACATTACATTTTCCGAAAATCATCGAAATGCATCTAAATTCATCTTGCCAATGCATACAGCTAGCTATGCGACAGGTAAATAAACGAGAAAAAAATTACGGCAAAGAGAAAAATTGAGAATTATCCGCGCTCACCCTGAGATTCGAACTCACGACCCCCAGCATACACGCTGAGTGTTGTTCCTCTGCGCCACCACGTCTTACACGGGAAATATGTTAATTTATTGTATATATAGAGGTTATTCTTAGCCAGCGCGATTTATGATTGCGTAAATAAGTACACAATTGTACACGGCCAAGGGTACAGTACCAGCGGAGCCGTATCTACTCTTTAATACAATATTTACAATACATCACGGCATAGATCACGGCTACCAGCCGGGGTTATTTAACTGTAATACAATACTACAATGCAATACGAGTGTCAGCCGAGCCTGTCGGTAGTATGCTATAGTGTACTACAATACATCACGGCTACCAGCTGCAATACGGCTATCAGCCGGGCGTGTCTATAGTATACTATACTATTGGACCTATAGTGTCTACAAAACATCACGGCTACCAGCCGGGGTTATTTAACTGTAATACAATACTACAATGCAATACGAGTGTCAGCCGAGCCTGTCGGTAGTATACTACAGTATAGTATACTACAATACATCACCGCTACCAGCCGGCAATACGGCTATCGGCCGGGCGTGTCTGTACTAGTATACTATACTATTGTACCTATTGTGTACTACAAAACATCACGTCTACCAGCCGGGGTTATTTAACTGTAATACAATGCTACAATGCAAACGAGTGTCAGCCGAGCCTGTAGGTAGTATACTGTAGTATACTACAATACATCACGGCTACCAGCCGGCAATACGGCTATCAGCCGATCCTGTCTCACTGCCTGTAGTATACTATAGTATACTACAATGCATCGCGGCTACCAGCCGGGGTTATTCAACGGTAATAATATATTATATTTTATTTATTTGCTATCACCCGCGTGCCTGTCGGTAGTATACTATAATATACTACAGACAGGCCCGGCTGATAGCCGTATTGCCGGCTGGCAGGGGCGCACATTAGGAGTTTTTTTTTTGGGGGGGGTCCGAAACCCACCTTAGCGTCCGAATATCACTAAAAGTCGGTCCCATTCTTCCTTGATACTGTGCGAAAACTCGGTCCCAAAATTCGTGGAAAAAGAATTAATATTTACTTCTGTCCGACTCCGTGAATTGGGACCGACAACACAGACCCGGTTGGTAAGATGTTATGAACAAGCCTATGTGTATGTGTTAATGTGTAAGAAACTATTTCTTGATTTTTAAACGTCAAATCGTAGCGCACCCGCTAAGGTTTAGATGGTTAATTCAGATTATTTATTATCATGATTTCATTGTTTTGCTAGTTGTTATTATACACTTCTATTTTTCATTATTTTCAGTATTTTATATGGACGGACGAAAGTAACAATTATATTCGAAAAAATAAACTCGTCTCTCTCTTTCTGCTACTATCCGATTTAGTACCTGTGGCCTGCGAACGGATATTCTCATGACAGCTCATACACATTACTAATAAACACGTCCTGGTATTCGCACGCGAGCTCATAGGCCTATACATATGTTTTGATTCTTCAGTTCAGAAAAAGACTTATCTGATTCTATTGATCTGGAACAGATTGAACAAATGCAGAAATTGAGCGAACTATTAAACAAGGGATGAATTTTCTTAATCCTTCGTTCATACACCTGAACGAGCCTACCGAAAAGGTAGAAAAACGAGCCTACCGAAAAGGTCTGAAATGGTCGTGTCCGGCGACCTAGAGGTTCTAAATGTTGAAAATTTTCTCGCTTGGCGCCAACCATGGTGGCGCCTCGTGAGACCTTACCCCCTGATTTCAATACATTCCCACGTCCCTGTTCTGTGGCATGATGCTTTTGCAGAATTGTTTTTTACCCCTCTGTTTAATTTCTTTTTGAATATCAAAAAGTTGGTCCCCAAGTGGCCCACACCCCCCTAGAAATTCCTTAGATGTGCGCCCCTGCTATGCTTATACCAGCAGGGGGGGGGGGGGGGTGGA